AAATAAGTAGCGCATGGATTTTTATCAGGTTTATTTCAATCTTTATGAAAAAAGCAGCATATAAAATTAATAAATTCAATACTTTATAGAATTATTAGTGTTAACTAAAATATAAGTATTATATAATATATATTAACACCAGTTAAAAATCTCAAGAGTTAAAACAAATCAATCCCCATTCTGTGGTCTATTCAATAATTTCAGCAGACGTTTAATTTAAATGAATAACATCGTAGTCTAAAGGGTATAGATTTAATTCCTCACGACTACTGTCATAAATATGCGAAAACTCGTAACTCAAAAACTACTAAAACTTCGAGGTCAGTATTTTATCAGAGATACATTGCCAATGAGCCATTCAGATATTTATGCTAATCATGCCATTAACACATTTAACTTTGGAGGTAAACCAGACCAAGTGTGACACTTCCATATTTCCAGAGAGAGAGAGTGAGAAACTCGGATTCTGGTGACCGTCCACCACCGCCTTTCGACAGGGCCGTATCCGTGTCACCTCGTCTCTCTCTCTGTAAACATCGGATATCACCAAAGTCTCATTTAATTAACCGTACAGGATAAATTAAATCTTGGCTTATCAAACCATGATAAACCTTTAATTTTTGTAATTATTAATTAATTTAAGTTTTTAATTTGGAACAATTTTAACACAAAATTTGATTATCTAAAAAATCGATAAGTGCATTGATAAGCGCCATAGCGTTAGTTTTTGAGTGGAAAACATCATTATAAATTATGATAAGCTTAAGTTGTAAATTTGGGGCGATTTGGATAACGAAATTTGCTTATCTGAAAAATTGATAAGCGCCTAGCGCTAATCTTCAGGTCGATATCGTCATTGTAAATTCAGATAGGCTTAAGTTCTAAACTTGGAGCGAGTTCCAGATTTTGATAATTGAAACTATTATCTCGTCAGTGGCCACACGTTTGCTACGGCTCTTGCCATAAAAGATGACCCCCACAGAAACTTTGACCCCAAAAATCTCATTGCGGCCATTTCTACTCGGACAACAAAAGCTGGAAATATAGATTTTCTGACGTAGAAAAATCTGGCATCAGGTTGTCAGCCTAGAAATGGCCGCAACTATGAGTTTTTTAACGGTTTATGTCGATAAAAAAGCGCGAAATTTCGAATTTTGAAACTTTTGATGCTTCAAAATGTTCGTATTCATGAGGGAATCCAAATGGCAAATGCAAGTTGGGGTCTAATTCTTTTTGTGCTGAGTGTACATTAACTTTCTCATTTTTCCCAATTTTCGAAGGGGGTGTGGTTGCATATAACTCAAAAATAGTCATGCTACACTGATCATCCCACCCAAAGTTAAATTTGGATTTTTTTATATAAATTTCGGTGATATCGATGCGACGTGGGATCTTCTCTTCTGGCCTGGTTTACCTCTTTGCTTATTTCCGTAAATTTGTGTCGGGTTCCAAAAAACCAGCGGGACGAATTTAATTAGCACCCTTTATTTTCTTGATAAGTTATAACGATTAATTGAGACAAAGATATCGAAAACATTTTTTTTGCATGTAAAATCAAAATTATTTCAATTTGTTTCAGTAACAATCACCTTGAACTTGTGTAGGTGTAAGTACATGTGATACATTTCAAAACGGTGCTTAATTGTCACAAACGGGGGTCGAGACACCAAGTCATGCAGCACAAAGCCCTACCTCTGCAAAAGTTTATGACAGCCTTGTCTTCGTATTGGATGGAGTCATCCACCCACAATTGGCATAAAAACATTATATATTCATATCATTTAAAGAATTTATAAATTAAATTAATACAAAGATTCGTAAAAATTTTCACCACTTCAGAGTTACGTACCTACTCTGTTCACATAAAGTGTTACTGGGATAAACAGGAACCGCTTTTTCAATTTTGGGAATTTAAATTTTATTTTTATTTCATTGAAAAGCCAGTTAAATTTTGAACAGAAAACATGTGTCACACTTCAAAATTTATCCCCCCTACGTAGCTAAATTTTTGAACTCGCGAACGCCAAGCACCCGCTGCGGCACGCGCTCCATTCATGCACAAATTGTCGCATTCCGGGGTCAGAAATTTTTTTGTGACCCAGACACTTATATGGGGCTCAGAACATACATTTTCTTCAACTCTAATAAATATTTGGTGTTGAAGTAGATTGAGGTCGGGAAATGCCAAGGTCAAACATGAAGTAAAATGAAGTCAGAAATATGGATCCTAATCCATTTTTTCACGAATTTCGCGCTAATTGTTAGCGTGGAGCCCTGTACAAGTGTCCACAGCTTACCACCCGATATGAATTGGTTGGTGGGGTGTTTCACCTTGGCCAGGACGTTAATAATAAAATTTTTTGCATCTACCCCCACCCCCCACTCGACGAAATTTAAGGTTTTGGATCAATTCCGTCGCTTTCCGCCAAAACTGAGAGTGACTCCGGAGGGTGTGACCTTTTGACCCTCTTTTGCAACTGTCCAATCCTTAATATATTTGCCATAAAACGTTCTATCCTGTTCGTTGAAATACACTTCCATCATGAAGATATTCACATTGGTAAACAGAAAAAAATTTCAGCATTTTTACCGTGCCTGCTTGGGAGGACCTTGCCATTTTTTACACGGACATATTCCTGCGGAATCGTTAACGTGTGGGACTCGGGAATAATTGAAGGCCTTCATCTTGGGGTCATTTTACAGCTTTCTTCCGATTGCTGAGTTTGCAGGTCATCTGTATGACCAAAGTCTTCGGCGCTTGAGTGTGATTTTGTAGTATTCTGGCGCTTGTAGCGTTGGACATTCCAGGAATTTTCTGCGACCTTAGACGATCGGAAATTTTGCATTTATTAATTGCCCCCATCCCTAAGATTATTTTAATAGCTTGGGCGACGACATAGTAGCTGACCATGAAAAGCTACACCACTTTAAAAATTGATATTTTTTTGCTAGGTGTAAAAATAAAAAATGATGGCTGTTCTCTTCTGCTTGCGCTTATATTAATTTTTACGTAGTGGGATCAGGAAAAAGCAGTTGGTACCTAATCATAGATACTGAATCAAGGAACACCATACAACCTATCTTTTAATTTTAGCTTATCGGATTCAAAAATACCGGGCGAGTAACACTTTATGTGAACAGAGTAGGTATTTCATGGATACACCCACATCAAAATAAATAATTGTCCTCTTACTATTTTACTTCCACCATTGCAAAAACTAAATTAAATATTCCGAAATTTTCTAAAACTGGACTTAGCATGTCCGGACAGCTTCTAGTTAACCGGTTCTCCAAAAAATGTGCACTTTTAATTAATTTTATGATGTTTTTAAATGAAAAGTTTATTGATTTGTTGGATGACTTTTTAAGGCAATTCTAACTTGGAGCTGCGGCCGTGTTACTGGGTGGAAGCACATGCACAGTGTGTCTCACAAAAACCAACGAGGCTTTATTGGGACTTACCAGTCCATCCTAGTATATAAGTTCATGGGCTTATGGGACCCCCATTTCCCTCTGTTTGTCTGTCTGAGTTGTGATAACTTTCTTTGAACTTATCCAATCGACTTAAAATGTGTAACCCAATACGGAATAAGCTACACCGGTTATGAAAATTTAAAATGCAGGTTAGAAATGTAATTTTGAAATAGGCGGGGAATTTGATAAATGTGCTCAAATTCTGGTTCGGGCTAAGCAAAGCTGTACTGAGAGATTTTCACGTAGTATTTTCACCAATCGATATAGATAAACGGGCAAAATTGAGGTTGTCGGTGGGCCTGCTTCTTGAAACGGTCATCCGGCAGCCTTGTGAACGGGGTCACGTGGGGTATAAATTAGTAAAGACGAACACAACGTTATGGAGCGTTTCGATCTTGGACGTGGCAATATGTAACGATGCCGACACTTATTTAAGCATGTTTGACGTTGTCATAATTTTGACATGCATACCATGCTTTGTCCCGTATCAGTTTATTGATTCATACACCACTTTGTACATATTTTGATAAAAGGATCTGTCAACAAGGTGTCCAGGGATTTATTATCTTTTGTAGACAAGCCGGATATCTGTAAAGTGCTGCTGCCTTTGATTCTCTCTTCCGCCTTCTGTTACTTTTGTGTCTTTCAAAACAAAACCAACAGGAATGGGCAAAATACAGTATTTTGAAAATACAAGTGTATTTGAAATACAAAATATATATTTCGTATTTTGTACTTAATACAACAATTTTAAGAAGCATTTGAAAAAACAAGTGTATTTGAAATACAAAATACGTATTTTGTATTTAATACAACAATTTTCAAAAGCATTTGAAAATACAAATGTATTTTGAACGATCTTATATATTTTCATTTTGTATAATATACAATATTATTGTATTTTAAGTGTTGGTCAAAGTATTTTTGGGTCAAAATACAAAACACTTTTCTAACATACTTTTAATTTTTTCACTTCTGGAATTGAAAATAACAGCAAATTGATTGTTTTTTACTTGAGTTTATTTAATTGCTGAATTTCCGTTTTGCATGGAATATTTCGGCTCTAATAAAGTACTTATGCAAATTCCTCGTAAAAATAAAAACATTAAAACAAAATATATTGCGGGCCATAAGCTTGGGTACTAATGCTCACCAATTGCAGAGAAACCAAAGAAAGTAAATTTTCTCATTTTATAAATAGTAAATGTTTGAGATGCTCACTTTACTTCAAACGTAAAAGGTTAAGTAAATAAATTTCGAATGTTTTGTTACTACACTTCTGTGTTGTATCAACATGTTTAATTAATGAAGTACGAAAATAGGAAAAGTATTTTTTTATTTTTGGAAGTATTTTGTATTTAATAAAACAATTTTCAAAAATATTTGAAAGTACAAATGTATTTTACCACTTCAAATGTATTTTCATATTGTATTTGGTATTTCCAACGGGTGTATTTTGCCCATCCCTGAAAGCCAAAAAAGTAGAGTCGAGCCGTTGTAGTATTCGTCATTGTTAAATTTACCATTTGCGGACCTACATGAAAATTGGCAGTGGTAAAATAAATTCTTCTCAAATTTACTTGCCAATTCAAGCTAGAAAGTTGTACGCGCCTTAGTCCTTCAAAAAAATGGTAAAGTTAATTTACGTGTTTGAAGTTTTTTTTAAATTTATAGATTTTCGCTTTTCCAGGCTCAAAGTAGTCAGAATCTAAGCGACGAACAAATAGCAGAATTTCAGGAATCATTTGGAATTTTTGACAAAAACGGGGATGGAACAATCAGCACTAAAGAACTTGGGATGGTGATGCGTTCGATGGGAAAGTTTCCAAGTGCCGCAGAGTTGGAGCAGATGATAAGCGAGGTTGATGGAGATGGTGGGTGTCCAAACAATCTTAGAAATTACCAGGGTTGCAAGTGTTTTAAACCACTTTTCACCAGATAGTGGGAAAAATGGGAAAAATACAATTTTTCCCACCCGCTAAAACTGTTAGGAAAACGTAGATTATACTAGATGGCGCCCCTGCAAACCGCTTGGAAATATGCAACACTAGTTTAAGTTTTGAAGTTAAAAGAGCTTATAGTTTAATTAATGTAGTTATGATTTTTGAGCATATTGAATACCGCGGTGAGATGCTAACAGAATAAATTATTTGTCTTTCTAACAACAGGAAGCGGGACGATCGATTTTCAAGAGTTTCTTTCCATGATGGCCCGCAACCAAGGTAGTCGAGACGAGAAAATGGAGGTGCACGAGTCCTTCAGGGTTATTGATAAGAACGGCGATGGGTTCATCACGGTGGGTGAGTTGAGACAAGTGATGGCCAACATTGGGGAGAATGCGAGTTATGAGGAAATTCAGGAGATGATTAAAGTTGCGGATCTGGATGGTGATGGGAAAGTTAATTTCGATGGTGAGCCATTTAAATTAATAAATTAATAAATAAATTAATTAATTTTTGTTCCGGTTTACTTCCAGAATATTTTGCAGTCCTCGGATCAAAATGAAGTTTCTAGAAGCAGAAAATATATTTCGAGGAAATTAGTTAAAAGAGAAATGAATAATGAAAAACAATTTAAGAGTTTGGATAGATTAAGAGAATAGTGCAATTATAAATAAATTTGAGTGGTCTCCTTTGAGTAGCTTCAAACCGTTTGGTAACACCTAAAATGTAGGATTTAAATTAGCGACGATTTAATTTTTTTTATGGTCGGGGGTCACGAGTGGACATGAAAAGTGAAGAGATTTTGGTCCCACCCCATGCCACACCCCCTCAGCTGAGCAAAACGTGTAAATCAGTTTTGAGTTTTTGTAATTTTTAGTGTTTGTGCAAATGGGCTGAAATTTGGCATGGAGGTAGACCAAATAATGCTGCTCATAGGAAATCTTTTGATTTTCGAAATTTTGAAAACTTTTGGAAATATCCAAAATTTCCGAAAAGAAGCGAAAATTTTGTTTTTGAAGGCAAATTTCCAAGAAATTAGTGGTTTATCGATTCTAATGTACTCAGCAGACTTTTGTGGTTCAAATAAATGAAAAAACACAGTTTTCATTTTTTTTCGTTTTTCTGACAGTAAATAAAAAAAGGTTAATGATCTCCTTCTCATGGGATGAAACAATTAATTAGAACAACTAATAGTGAATTAAGCAATCAATAAATTATCCGTTTGTGGTGTGTCGACACTTGTCATTGTGACTTTTTTAGCCCGACCCAAGGGCTTATATTGTCCGTCTGTCTGTGTATCTGTGTTGCAGTAATTCTCTAACGCATTGACCGATTTTTACCAAACGTGGTGGAAATATGCTTATTCGGGGGTGTGACGTGCTGTATAGTTTTTGACTCGAACAAAAAAGGTTTGGACCGGTGGGGGTCATATTAGTGGTTATATTTTTAAAACCTAAGGGAGGGCCCTTTTTAGGTAAATTCGACATGATGGTGCCAATGGAGGTATAAAGTTTATACTATAAACACGGAATTTTAAATTAAAATCGAAAATTCTTCAAATGATGCGACCCTTTTGGGTGTCCCACACCGATTTTTAAATTTTGTTATAGAAAGTTAAAATTTGGCACACCGATCTCTGATCGCTCCTAATTGTAGAATACAAATTCTAGAAACTTTCACCCGGCTAGAGGGCGACCCCCACCGATTTATAAATGTTGTGGGATGGAAGTCTAAAATTTTGAAAAGAGGTTTCCATTTGGTTCTAATGACAAAATGTGATGTTAAATGTGAACAAAATGAAATGAAAGGGACCACTTGTGATGACCCATACTGATTTAAATATTGTTCTGGTAGGCTGATCCACAGTCGAGTAAATATAAATTTATTTCAATGAATTGCCAGTTTATTCGTATAAATTACTCACTATGGTAATTAGCATGAACTAAATTAATTATTTCGGATCAAATAATTAAAAATTGGATGGTAGATTTCTTTGTTTAATATTTGTATTATTTGAAATAATACTGCAAGTTGAGTTGTTATTAGGACAAGGCCAATATATATTTTTGTTCATTCTCTGCCAGAGAATCTCTGTAAATGCTTAATTATAGGAAATATGATATTTTAAATATCTGTATACAGAAAATCCTAATACACGATTATTTAAATTGGCCGCCATTGTGGCACACATTTTGCCCACCCAGTATATCCAGGAGGTTATCTTTCTACTTACTTGTTTATTCGTTCATGTCTCGTATCTAAGCATTTACTCTAATTTTCTAAAAAGTTTAGGGTAAATCTATTTAGTTCAAATACCACCGTTATTTAATTTTTTTAAATTGTTTTAAACCAGTCGTTTAAATCTTACATAACCAAACACTTCCATTTTGGCAAGGTTGTTGCAACATTAAAAGAACAATAACTTTCAAAAGAGAACAATCGTTCAATTGTTCATCTCAAATTTATTTAAGCAATGTGCTCCACGGTCAACTGTTCCACTTTCAATTTCATTCTCCTCTTCTCTCTCCTGTCCAATTTTCAGCTGATTAGCCATGAAGTTCATCGTCTTAGCCATTTTGGTCGTAATTGCTGTGGGGGTGACGAAATCTGGTAAATTAAATAAAGTACAATTTTAACAAAGCTGTTCAAACTAATATCCTTGAAAATTTTGGGCAGAATTTTCCGCCGAATTTTCCGGGGAAGCCTCTGTAGCCTTGGACCATGGTGCTAAGCAAGTACGGGAAAAAAGAGCCCCCCATCGATTTTCCCCCTATGAAGGAAGATACAGTGGAGGATACGTTGGGCGTGGCTGGTACGATATCGACTACGCTAGGATGGGATGATGACGTCAATAGCTCCTCTCTCAACAGAATTAATTAAAATTGATCAATTTCAAGAGATACGCATTATGCATGAACAAGAAGATAATTAGGCAAATCAATCAGCATGGTCATCATTCTAATAAAATATATTTTGTTCATGAGCATGTAGACTATTTTATTAATGTTTTACTGTACAAGTTGTATTCGCAGATTTTGACGTGAGCATACATGCATAATTAAAAAAACTGAGTACGCAGGAGTCGCACAAAAAAGTCTCTAAATTTAAAAAAATCGTTGAAAACTAGAAAAAATAGAGAACCTGCTCCTATCCAGCAGGGGGGTACCCAAAATCGCGGGCACATTCCCTCGTTGCGTGGTTAAGGGAGATCCGCGGGCGCGAAAAGTTAAGGGGGTTGGGGGTGGGGCTGTCCTGACATTGATTCTCTCAACAATCTGCTGAATGAGTGCCAGCCCCTTCTCGCCAAAAACTCCCGTAGTTTTTATAGCAACGTGAACAAAAAAGAGCGGGGGCGGGAGCTTGAGAAGAGAACACGTCACTTTGTTCTCCTCCATTTTAAATACTTTTGTTTCTTGAAAAGCTGACGGCAAGGGTCACCCCCATTTTAATAATTTTCCCCCACTTAGTCTCTGTAGGCTCCAAGTTAGTGCAAGTGTTTTAGTGGGGGGAAATACGCCCGTAGTGATTTTTACGGCGTTTTTCCACCCCCTATCTTCTCAGTGCGGAGCAAGTCGCCCCAACTCCCCTTAGCAACGGTTGTCAAGGACCCCCTTTAACGGGATTTCGCCCTTCGTGCCTACCGGAGGGATTACCCACGACTCAGGTCCTGTAGGGGGAGGTACCTGCGTCCCCAGAAGCTTCGCGGAGTTTAAGCAACCGGTTTCTCTCTTGTTCAGTGATACAATCCAAATGACGATCCGTAACTTTTTTTAATAATATTATCACGAAAACGAATTGTTTCTGTTCCCTTTGGGTGGGACTAATTGGTCTCTCTTCGCGCTCAAGGCCCCTCACAGACCATGTCCACACCTAAAAAAAGTCCCGTTCCTCCTTCGTTGCGGCCGCCGCAGGACGACTCCACTGTTGCGCCTGGCCTCCGCAGCCGACCCCGTAAATCGATTATCGAACCCCCTCTTTCTCTCGTCGGGTTAGGCGGTGAGGAGCCCTCATGGAGTGGAGTCCCCCCTCCGTCTCACACACGTAGCGCAGGGTCCCCCATCCATGCCGGTCATCGGTCTCCCCCACATCTCCCGGAAAAAGACAGGATTTTGCGTCCATATTTACGCAGGACACCCAAAATTGGTCGATGGATGCAGGACAATTTTTTGTCGACCACTCTTCCCGGTTCCCCCAATTTCCCAGTTGGATGGGAAATATGTCCAGAAAGTGGGAACTGGGAAACGCTGGCAACATCAAATAAATATGAAAAAAATGATAAAAAGATTTCCCTGCAGAAACCAACTGTCATATTAACCTTTTAAGGTGGAAGGAGGTCAATTATTTGTATTACCAAAAAAATACTTCCGTCGAGCGGGAGGACAAGAATAGTGCTTCATGAATTTGTAAATTAATACATTTAGTTACTAAATTGGGATATTCCCTAGAAAATGGATTAAGTACCTGGAAAATTGGAAATTTATGGACCTTAGGGGATTGTAAAATTCCTAGGGATCGGGGAACCCTAATAGCAATTAAGAAAATTTTCTTGAAATTGATTAGGGTCAAATTCTGGTGAACTTTTGGCCGTACGTAAGTGTCAGTCGTGTCAGTCTGACCATCCGTCTAATCATAAAATATAACTGACTTACTTGAAATTTGGGACCCGGTTGTGGCTCAGGTCGAATTAGGGATTTTGTAGTCTGGGCAGTGTGTGGGGCATCATAACCTTTGCCCTGTCTGGAATATAGCTTTCATACTTTCCAACAACAGTGTAACATTTGTGTGGGTTCATGGTGCGAGGTAAGCTCGAAATTGAAGTTGGAGAGGCTTATTTAGACTAGAAAACTAAAGTTTTTATTTCTACTCCTGAACTTTTAATGAGAATTGTGAACATAAGAAGTGCTTCTACGTATTATGTACATAAGTTGTATGTATTTAGGAAATATCGAAAAAAATAGAAAATTGTTATATTTAAATGCTCATAAAGCAGTAATTTTACATCTTTCCGAGATATTGAATTCATTAAGGCAATTTTGTGCTTCACAAAATTTCACAAAATTTCTTTGTCAATATCCTTTGTATAAAACGATTTAATTTTTTGCAACTTTTGGTTTTAGTTTTCAATTTAGGGCAATGATTAGGACAACTCAACACTTGCGTATGAATAAAATCAGATTCTTATGCCTTTTAGAGTGTTTTAAAGTCAAATTGAACCAAATTTGTCATGTTATGCATTTTTGTGAATTTAATGCACTTTTAGGCAATTTCATGCATGGTGCATGCATATTAATATTATGCCCCTAAAAAGAAACACTGGGCAGATCATCAGCGTACCCATTCAAACAGGGTTCTGGCATTGAGGTCCTGTTATTGTTATAAATTGCTTTTAGTTATAAGTACCTCATAATCCACTTATCAGTCAGCAGGACTGGCAGTAGTTTAGTAGAGTAAATTTCAAACTAACTTCGTGCCAGGACCACCGGAAATAGCTTAGGAGGGGAACTTCAGAACATGCCACTCTCAGAATCCAATGCCCTTTGGATATGTTGTAGTACCCCATGAGTGTACCAAAACCCTGAAACGGTTTGATGCCATGACCCCATTTGCGCCCACCACACCCACTCAAAGGTGCAAAAAAAAAACGAAAAATGCCCTGTTTTGGTTCATTAGAAAATTCGCCAAAAATCCTATTTTGATCGGATTTTCAAAATTTAAGCCTTTTTGTGATCCTAGATAGTTGCCTTAGAATATCCAATATCAACTGTTTTGAAATTTTGATTTGGGTTATCTTTAATGGACCATAATTAAATACTAAAACTGACCATAATAACCATAATACATTGACCGATACTGGCTTTATTCATAAAAATAACCAGATCATCCATAATAAGTACTGAATTTGACCATAAAAAATCATTAAATTTAAAAAGCATTACCGCTGACAAATACACTTCAACTTTGTACAATTTTACAATTTTTAGTAAATAATTTAATCCTTTGGTGTTTTGGCTGGTCTTCCGCAGTTAAATTTCTCTCCAATAGGTACGCACTTAGGGGTATCCTTAAATTACGTAATGCTGGCTAGTATGGGCAAGATAGGGTTTTTCCCCTATCCTTCCCATACTGGCCAGCGTTACGTAATTTAAAGATAGCCCCTTAGCTTCAGGGGGTGGGCTAAACAGTTTTAATTTGATGGCCATCCCTACTGTATGTTTGCAAATATACATTTTCAAAAATGATGGTCAAGTTCATGGTGCATCATTCTAAGATACTGTGCTATCATCTTTTTTGACGAATGTTACAAGCCATATTTTACTCTGAAACTATTTAAATGATTCGAAACCTCGATGGGTTTGGGTTTTCCTCATCTAAAGGTAACCCTGGATCTCTACTTCCTAGCTGGGAGGACTTCGATGAAGGTTGAATAACCAGAAGTTATGTTTGCATCAAGTGTCCTAAATTTCGCCAGCTTAGCATTTTCAGTGCTAGTCCAATTGTATGCTTGTGTTGTCACAGAGAGGGTTAATACCGGTTCTACCATAAATTGAATGAAGTCAACATTGAAGTCAACGCCAGAATTATGCTTTAGACACAACGCCTACAACTCCCCGAGGGATAACTTTCTGGATGAATCCGACCTGTTTGTTTGTAGAAAATTATTTAGCTATGGATTTGAAGGACGATCTGCTCCCTCTGTCTGCAGGGACAACAGAATTGGATTTGGTTTGGTGATTCCTAATTCCAACAATGTCTTAATCCTTTATTTAATGTCTACTGGTATGTTTAATATCTCAGAATCACTGTCTACATCCTCAGATTCAGGTATGGCGTCATGATAAATTTGAGATTTTAAATTTTCTAGTTCCATTTTAGTAATTTATTGGTGAGACGTTATGTGAGTTGTATTTGGAAAGTGAGCATAAGTGAAATAAGTGAGTTCGAAAGTTTAGGAATGAAAAATACGCCATAATAATGTACCTCTTAATCCATGTTTGCCCTTCATTTCTTGATTATGTTGAGTTCAGTGTTTATTATGTATATATTAGTCTATATTTTACCTGCAATGTTAATTTTGTTATGTAAAAAGCCAGTATTGGTGGAATAAGTACTTATTATGGTCAGTATCAGAATTAGATTATGGTCGTTTAAATAGCACTATTTTGATTTTTTCGAAGACATACCCTCGGTGGGAAAATTTTCGAAAATACTCAAAAAATTTAAAAAATATATTTTGATGTGGGATACTATAAAACAACTATCTGGGAGTATACTGGTGAAGAATTTTCCAAATCCGAGCAAAATTGGAATTTTGTCGAGCGTTTGAAAGTGACTATTTTCGTGTTTTTTACCCTTTTGAGTGGGTGTGGCGGAGGCAAATAGGGCCATGGCATCAAACCGTTTCAGGGTATTGGTACACTCATTGGGTACTACAACACATCCAAAGGGCACCGAATTCTGAGAGTGGCATGTTCTGAAGTGTTCCTCCTTAGTGTACAGATTCCAGCATGCATAAATTCCAATCAAAATCTCAAAATAATTTAATTCCATCCCAAAATTAAAAAAAATTAATGGGTTTTGCATGCTTACTTTGTTTCTTGTATTACACAAACAAGAAATAGAAATTGGAATAGAAAATCCATCTGATATTGTTATCATTATGATCCATTGTTCTTTTAACTTTCGATTTTACTTCGATTTGTTAACTTCTAAATTACAACAAATCTGCGGAGTAGCAGTCAAACTACTAAGCTGTTTCACCCCAGAGATATGGCAGTTTTTATTACAAATTTAATTTTCTTTACACTTCCGGTACTAATTCTGTGTGAAAGCTCGTTCCACCAGATAACCCCACTCTATGTGCGACACTTGAAAAAGTTGGAGGACACCCTTGTCCCACATGTCATTGCCCGCTACACCAAGGCCCTCGAGGATCAGCTGGTTCTTATCCGAGAGTACGTCCAAGACTACGAGGACCATCAAAAATCACTTAATCCCGTTGAGGGAAATCCACTCGATACATACCGCCTCGTCCGACGGCTGGCCCTACTTACAGGACCGGACCTCACTAGGCTTTCTAAATATGCACAGGATGGTAGTTCCTATTTCAATAAACGTAGATGCAATTTTGACAAACTTTTATTTATTTTTATATAGAATTAGCGACAATTGTGGGACTGGTGAATATTGAGGATAAAAATGAAGCCGTTTTGTCACTTCTCCATCTCCAATACACATATTCGTTAACTGCATTTGATTTAGTGGAAGGAATCGTTTCAGGCCAGTATTAAATATTTTTAATTTCATTCGTCATGCATTAATCCATTAGCCAGGAAAAATATTTTTTGCTACTACTTGTTAGTTTCTCTAAAATCCATTTTTTCACAGGTGTACATACTGGAGTAACTCTAACCGCTGCGCATTCCATGGAAATTGCTCAGTCGGCTCTACACGGCGGTTACTACTCTTTCGCTTTGGAATGGCTTCAAGTCACCCATAAATCCAATAAAAGGGAGCAACGATTTACGGACTTTGAATTGCTAGAGGCCACAAAAGCATTTACGGTTGAACACGACACAAACTATGAGGTTAAAAGGTGTGGCTTGATCATCCTGTAAAACGATTAGCGTAATATCTCCCAGATCTCAGATTTTCAGAAAATTAAAAATAAGAATTTGCTTAATATTTGTATTTTTCGTCGGGTATTCGAAAAACCCAAAATTTTTCAATCCAACCTGAGTCGATTTATATCTGATATCGAATTTACCTCCGTCCTCCTAAACAACTTTCATAATACCGGGTAGGCTCAATCCAAACATTGATTTCAGTTTGATTTAATTTGTCTTGCAGGGCACAGAGGCACATGTTTATCTATCCACAAACTTTCAAAGAATGGAATATGAGCCTCCAGGAACTTCTTACTAAGCCACCACCTTCAATGGCATTGGGGCAAAGTGAGTTAATAAAGACGATACCAGATACCGGCGCGGCAAAGAGGGAACCATACAGCACAATTGCGTTATGTCAAGGCAACAATTTCCAGGTTTGTACATTTTTTGGCGGCTTTCGTTTCATGATATGCAAAACTTGTACAACCAAACATACAATTTGTTAATGCATAGCTCTTATGAATGCTTATGATGCTAAGAATGAATAATATAAAGCTGTAGTTATTAATTATATCGTCAAAAACAGGGAAATGCGGTGCGCTCAAAACTCCGATGTTATCTTGACTACGGCGCCAATTCTTACTTTTTAATCCAACCTGTCAGAGTGGAAGAATTAGGAGAGGGTCTAACCATTTTCCATTCCTTTCTTACCAACTCCCACGTCGATGAAATTAACCGGGTAGCATTCAATAAAATTGGTTTAGCTGTTACAAGGCGTGAAGCCAGTAGTGATGAGAATATAGCAGCATTTGCATGTAAGTAATTATCAAAATTTTATGCAAATCTGAATTGAACAATTTTTGTATTCCCAGCAGTCCTAAAGAATTCTGAACCGGTGGCATGGAGATTGAAAAGGAGGGCTGAGTTATTGTTGGGGCTTAATGTTCTGGGAGTTAATGCATCTGAAAGTGTACGCTTCTCACTTTATTCGACGGGTATGAAAATTCACAAAAACAAATTGGATGTGATTTTGTTGATAAATATTTATACTCAGTTGGTTAGATTAACGTATCTAATTTAAATTTTCAGGTGTGTGCTGTTTCGTTTACCTGGACGTATTGAGGGATTGAGGGCACACAACGATGCGGCTGGACACTACGACGAAAATGACCCCGATTTGGCCTGGGACAAGACTAATTATGTGGACAGACTCAAGACAATGCTGATCTATGTAAGAAATTACCCATTTAGAACTCTCCCGCTTAGGATTATAATTCTTAGTGGGGTTAAGTTGGAGATGGAAGTTCGGAATCAAACTTAACTTCGAATAATCAGTATGTGAATCAGGTTTGGATATTAATGAATTCTGGAAAAAATTACAAGGCGTGTTTGGGAACCAGTTTCTAAAAGTAATCAGTTCTTCCTATTCTAAATTAAAAATACAAATTAGTATTGCTTTGAAGGATTTAAAGAAATTTAAAGAAATTTAAATTTAAAGAAATAAAACTCGAAATAACCACCTTTTCGGATTAAAAAAATGTAATTACGAAACCTAATCAGATGTTTTAACGATTCCTTACTTCATATATGCACAGCTGAGCGACATTGACGTCGGTGGGATCACCGCCTTTACAAATCTTGGCGTAGCGATGCGTCCAACGAAAGGCTCGGCATTATTCTGGTAATGTTTAGTAAAACCCTGAAATTTCATTATTATGGTTTCCCTCCATTAAATCCGCTATGTTTACGTTTCAGGAGTAACTATGCATCAAATGCGGAGGACTTAAATCCCCTAATTACTCATGCGGGCTGCCCCGTCCTGCTCGGGATCAAGAGTTATGCCACCTTGTGGTTACTTTGGGTGACGATTGCATGATATGTTCTACCAATTTACAGTTATTATGAAAATCCTAAAATGTTTTTACTGCTTTGGCTTCATTTGTAAACAAATCCGAAAATTCGGTGGAGGCATGCATATTAAAGTAATGATATAAATTAAATGTCGCATTCATTTTGATTTTTGCTTGACGGATGTTAATTTTAATTTTTATTTTACAATTCATAGCAGTAAACTTTTTGCAATAAGTTATTGCAAAAAGTAAAAATATTTGATAGTTATTGCCAATAACTATCAAATATTTTTACTTTTACTTTTTACTTTTTACTATCTTTACTATTTTTACTTTTACTTTTTTTGTGTTCCAAAAATATTTAGAACAAAACAGTCTTTTGACTTCTCAATACTGATCTTGATCTTGGGCTTTTGATCTTGATCTGGGATTTGATCTTGATTTTGATCTTTTATCTTGAGTATTCGGCAGATTTATGTCTATCTTGATTTTTATCTTATGGGGCGCAAAAATTAATCTTGATCTTTTATCTTGATCTGCAAAAACCTTCATCTTGCCCACCTCTGCCCCTTGAGTTTGAATTTTTCGGTGGAAACCATTTATTGATTTTATTGATAGGGTTGCCGCTGGCTCTTATTTTGACGGGCTGGTAGTCGGGGAAAATTGACCGTACGGGCTGGGCGCCATACCGAGGACGACTTCGTCGGCCATTCTGTTTCCTTTAAATTTCTGAGAAGATAATTCCGTAAAAATATTATTTTTTAAAGTTTCGTTAAATTTATTTACATGATCACACGGTTTAAATTCCACTAGAAAATCTCCTAGCGAACTTACAGAGCAGTGTTGTGAATCAGTACAGTTATCCTGATAACTTATTAATGGGGATGGGTAATCCCGCCAAATTTGAAGCGGATCTGAAGCGGATCAGATAGTTTTTGCCTCGCGGTAAATAAATTTGTGTAGTCAACGTCAAAACGGCAAGGTACTTGTCATTTGTGCGTGAGGCATTGATAAGGGCTTTTTCCAAAGAAGGATTGTTCCAAAGGCAAGTATGTAAAAGGTTAGAACAGAACGGAATCAACATAAATAAACCGTTAAAAACGACTTTAACCAAGGGGTAAAATAAAGTTATTCATGGGAATTGAATTAACTTTGAATTGTTCTCGAGTCTCGACTATCCATTTTTGAATTTGTCATCAAGCTTGAGTATACCAAATTTCGACATTTTCGACCTTTGGCGTCGTCAACACAGTCACCATGTCGACGTACGTCGAAATCATCAAAAATCATGTCGATTTTTGAAATCCCCGTCCCAAGATATGTCTAAAACCGTTGAATCAAAAATTTCGACATGTTTCGCCATTGACCTTATTAACTTGGCGTCGTGACCTTTTGACCGACGACCCCCAAGTTCTAATCAGTTCCTCCCCTTAACATAATGAGTTAGTGTCCAAAATTTGAAATCTCTGTATCACTCCGTTTGAGAAAATTTGTGCTTCCAGCTCCAGTGCGTCCGCTTCCGACCAAAAATGGCCGCTTCCGACGTCCGGAAGCTGCTTCTGACTTCCGGAAGTCGAAAGCTGCGCACCTATGAGCTCCAAGAGTAAAATTTTAGTCTTGGTTAATAGTCCATAATTGGTCTTAATCAAGAATTTGGCTGAACTAAACTTAATTGAGTCATATTAACAGATTATAATTAAATGTGAAATGCTTGATTTGAAAATTTCCATGTTATATTTTCGTTAATATATGAAACCTAAAACTAGTCGTAAGTAGTGTTAACTAAACAATTAAAAAAAGAAAAAACGAGACTTATTCGTTAACCTCTTTGACAGTACTCATTTTTTTATTAAAATTTCACTTCTAAACGATATTGATTTGACTATTATATTTGATTATTATTATTATTAATTATACCCGATAGCAACCGATTAACATTTTCCACGAGTTTCCAATATTCGAGTTTTTGACGAAAAACACGAAAATCCACTTTTTAGAATTGGTTGGTACAGGGAAAATCCACAATTTTTAGGAGAAAAGTATCGAAAAAAAATGTTTTTCACCATCTAGTTTTCCACAAAATACCGAACAAATATTCTTTTTTTAAAGAAATTTTGGTGCCAAGGAAATCCTTGCAGTACGGACATTTGTGTATTTCGTAGTCAACGGATAAATAAAATACGACACAAATTTGCGTATTTCGCCGTGAACGGAAAATACAATAATAACACAAATGTGTGTACTTCGTCGTCAAGGTGTTAAAGCTCCACATTCCAAAATCCATAAAAATCGATAAAAAAATAGGCCCCCAAATCTAGCTCACGTATCAATAGTTCCGCTAGTGATATGCATAATGTGGAGTTGGATGTTGCACTACCCACACTGGTTTAACCTACAGACCGTCACGACCCCGACTCATTTAATTTTGCAAGGTATCATGCAAAATTTGGCAGATTTTCCCGACCACCATTTTGGCACGACCGGGTCCACGTCAGCACCCACCACCAATTGCATTTCAAAATACCAAGCTTCCCCTTATTGGAATTGAATATCACGAAAATGAATTTCATTATTATTATTATTATGAAAAATAATATTCAATTTTAAAAAAAATATCGCATATTTTCGTAAACCATTTCATCATGTATAATTAATAAATATGTATATACACCCAAATCAATGACTAATACAAATTACGTCGCAATAAATTACGTCAAGCTGTACATTTGTTGTAATTATTCATATACGCGGAACATCCTGTGTAGAATACGTCCAGGTAAACGAAACAGTACACACATTGTTATCAGGGCATAAATGATAACAACCAAAAAATTATCTCTCTACGCCACGATTACATTTATTGATACACAGCGTATGAAATATGCATGTGTGATAAATCCTCGTAGTGTGAATAATTACCAGACATCAAGCTCCCCTAAATCTACACAAAACTTAAAGCGTACACGGTTTATCACAACTGTTTCACAACCAAAATAGTTCGAAAGTACGTAAATCGTCCACCGTCAGTTAAACATTTGTTGAATAATTGGAAGCAAATAAGTTTCTGGAATTTTGTGAGATGGAAATGGTCTCGTACAAACCTCGTGGAGAAATGTATATGGTTGAGAACGATCAATCTTCCACACCTCCTAAAAGTTGCAGGTAGATGTGAACAGCTTTGTCTTCTCCACGGCCACTATTCGTCAAGGATTCGTACGGTAAATAAAGCAATAATTAATTTAAATTATTAACTATAAGAGGTTTAATTTTGGTTTAATTTTCAGAAAAGTGTTTTCCATTCTCCTACTCCAAATCGTGACGACTTTTGGGGTGGTTACGCTAGTGACGTTTTCAGACAGTGTCAGAGATGCGCTACGTAATTTGACATTTATTTACGTATCAATCCCTTTGGTGATTTTGGACCTTTGCTTGATCATCTTCATCCTGGTGAAGCCAGAGCGGATGAAAACCACTCCGATAAATTATATCGGATTAGTGGTCGTGACCATGGCAACTACGTTTCCGATAGGGGTGGGAACGTCTTATGTGGAGTAAGTGTAGTGGGAATTTATATATTTTAAGTGAAGATGAGTGTTTCGCCTAGTTTTAACTCATCCTGGACAGGACACTGTCCAAGAGTGGTTTTGAACAAGAATTCAAATGTGTCTAAAAGTGTTCAAAATGTGAAAAGGTGTCTAAATTGAAAAATGGGGCAAACTGCTACAATTCATGTTGCCACATTGGTTACTTTTGGGCACTTTTGGACACTTTAGACATTTTGGCCACTGCCCATGCCCAAAACGAAGCAATGCTTAAAATCAAGTCGTCTAAATGTGTTCAAAATGTCGAAAAGTGACCAAAATTGAAAAATGGGTCAAATTGCTATAACTCATATTTCCCCATTGGTTACTTTTGGATATTGGCCATGTCCAAAACGAAGCACTGCTTAAAATGAAGTCTTACTTTATCACACTAATCTCTGTTTTGTGCCCACTTTGTAGGATAAAATACGTCGTACTCTTCCCGACCGGACTCATCGTTACCAGCACATTGTCAGTGCTCCTATTTTGTCTACAATCTCGGAAACAATTGTCCTGCTTGTCTGGTTTCCTGATCTCCACGCTATCCCTCGTACTAACTGCGCTCCTTCTCTTCTTCGCTTTTCGCGTAGAAAATGTAGAAAAGGAGAGAGAAATGGGTACCATCCTAGGTGTTGCGGTCGTAATGACGATACTTTTGGAAATGTTTTGGATCGGTCTAATTCGTGGAATTATATTCGGGGATAAAAATAGATATGGGACACGATGTTCCGAAGAAGATTACATTTTGGCTGCAGTGCTGCTTTATGTGGTGGTAATTTTAATCTTTTTGGTTATCCTGCTCATAGTCCTGCTCATTGTGGGGTCAGGAAAAGGTGGTTCGAATACTTGTGGGAGTTGTGGATGTCATGGGAGTTGCGGGTTCTGGACTTGGCCGATGTTTGGGAGAACGAGAGCGTGTAAAGAACAACGACGGGGGGGTTGCGTGCCGGGTGAGAATGGAGGTGTTTCATAAATAAAATTTGGTTATTTATTGATTGTACTAGTGTTTAGAGCCCGGCTAGTGGGGGCTGTCGAATAAACAAAATGATAAGAATGCGAGTCCCTTTCATCAATATTTTTGATAAAAACTCATAAGCTATAGTTGTATTTAAGGACACAATTAATTTCGGTAACTTCATGTGTTGTTTAATATATGTATTCGTATTATGACTGGCGACACCCCTCGTGATGGGTGTGGTTTGAAAATCTCACTATTCTGTGTGGATTACATTTACAATGCATTTCAATTTGTTGAGGAAACAAGTTGAACGGCTATTTTTTTTACCAATTTAGATAATACGGATCCTTTGTAATAGCTACTGATCATTTTGTATAAAATGAAATCTTGAAAAAACAGCGAAGAAATTGCTGCGCTTTCGAATTTCAAAATTTACCAGTTGAACCAAAATTGTCTTTAATGCCAATATCATATGTGCTTATAGGGCTGGGAATTCAGTCTAGTGGTTAGTGCATCCATCTCTTTCCACAAATTGGCGTCCAGTTCGAAAAGGGCTGGAGTTTTTGGTATAATCACCGATTAGCGTACTGGAAAAGATGTCTGCTTGATGATAGAGAGCGGCTTGATTAGGCAAATGCTGGCTCCCATTTGGACACTATAAACAAAATTATAATGAATCATTACTGCGCGGAGTGCATATATGACTCCACCGCGATAGTAATGATTTGGTATTAAAACAATACTATATGGTAAATAACCTTCAGTGCAGACTTATATAGCCCGAGCTAGTATGTGAAACTTCCATTGCAATGATCCATTGCAATGATCATAATTTATTTCAACTCGATTAAGCAATTAGCAAGAATCGGTATAGGTCATCCCCTAGGGTCCCTCGGGATGAAAAATTTTCCAACTTAACTTCATAATGTCATAAATATTCATCAGAGACCTCTGTGCTAAATTTAAGCTTTCTATGATAATTTATTAAAATCGGTATGGGTCACCCTATAGGGTCCCTCAAGTTCAAAATTTTTAAAGTTTGATTTGATATTCCTATTTTACACCTCCATTGGAGCCATCATACCGAATTTCAGCATTTTACTCGAATACTCTGCACCGAAGTCAAAATCCACACCACTATTTTGACCCCCACCGGTCCAAAACTTTTTTGATCGAACCCATCTTCGAACTTAACCTCGGCCTTGCCCCAACGGTCATTGTAAGACCAAGTAGGTCAAAATCGGTTGAGTGGTTCGGTTCGTCCGCTAGCGTGTCACGGACGGACGGACGGACGGACGGACATGGTGATCCCATAAGCCCTGGCTCGGGCTAAAAAGTAACACAAATTAGTGTTAAGATTATTACCAAAAAGTGTTATTTTATTACTAAATTTATACCAACATAGTGTAAATTTTTAATTAAAGCACGGTATCTACTCCGCTGGTTTTTTTTATTGCCAAGTTGCTAAGATTGGATACATACTCCGGTCCGGTACATGCTAATTGACTAATACGTGTTTCCTCCATGCCCGGGGAATTCCATTTACTGACTATATAAGTAGTATTGTGCACTGTACATGTCTGAATAGAACCTAACTTACTTACCTAGTTAAAATCTACCTATCCTAATCACCCTCTCCTAAACAAAGCCTGCAAGAGCTGTTAGCCATAAGCGGACGTTAAACCTGACCTTTTTTTACATTATGTGTTTATAAACATACCCAGAATTTAGTCGACACAATTGTGTTTAAAGTATTCACTTATTTAATATTGTGGCTGTCTTAAAACTATATATTTCTTCCCGAATATGAATGAAGCCTAATTATTTAGTATTTAGGTATTTTTTTTAAATCCAAATTATAAATAAGTATGTGCAATACTCAAATAATCCTTTTGCCGAATTTTCGGATTTTCAAATCGCTCAACTTTTTGAATTTTGGGACAAATTAGAAAATTTAAACACGTATTTCCTTAGAATTACTTTTTTTACGTTTTAAAAATGTATTTAAGTTCATGAGAAATAGTGTTGAGTGATTTTGTATGTTATTTTTAAGTGTGGTGAATTTTGTGTAAATATTGCATTAGGCGAAAACAGATTATCTTTTATATTATAAAAAGCAATGAATTATTTATTTACAAGTTTTGAAATGGTTACATACACATATTTGATGTATGAACTAATGTGGGGTATTTTAATACATTAATTTATTGAGGGAAATTGATACATATTTAATTGCAATCTCACTTCCTTCCATTTGAGGTAAGTTGAGACTTGCGATCTACTCTTGCGTAACAGCGTTTGCTTTAGCACGTAAAATTTGCGGACCTGTTTGGTGGTGGACCTTGGCTACTCTTATTCCACAGGTCGGACACGAAAGCGCGCGACCTGCGTAACCAAAACTCGGCGATATATTTAGCTTTCCCGGAATTGTGACCGTGGAAAGTAATGTACATGCGAGTTTCTGCAGGAGCGTTCTTTTCTCATGCATTTATGTAGCAGTCGACTCTTCCACTGCTGCGTCGGGTATGCATATGCATCATGTGTATCTAGCTGGATGAGAGCGAGGGTTTTTCTCTCTTTGTTTCATCCATCCATCCATCCAACTGTACCTATGCAGAATATCTGCATGCAATGCAACACAAATTGCACCCAACTTTTACACATTTGTCAATCTTACTTGCTGCATCCAGCAACCTATGTCCCTGTGCATGTTTCTAAACATTCTGCCTCCTTTGAACGGTTACCGTTCTAAATTAAACAATACAAATTAGATATTGTTAAATAATCTTAAATTTACATTATGGTATAACTAACAAAAACTAACTTAACCCAATGTATGGCACTATTTCGCCAATTTCGGAAGATTTTGCATCCATTTGCATCCGATTTTGCATGAATCAAAGTCTATGCAATTTGACCAGTATAAAAGGCCCTGCAATTTGTCACCAAATTGTAGTTACCTTTTGTCTCTGGTCCAGTTCCTGCAGGTCTCATCTTCCCCAAAAATCTCCAGGATGTCCACCAATTCGGTCGAAACCCGGGTCTTCTCTTCCCTGTTCGGAGCCATTCAGGATTCCGGCCCCATTTGTCTGGATCTCGTTGTGCCCCAGGACGACAGATATGCAGAGGACCATCCTGTGGTACCCTGCTACCAGAGTCGATCTGCCACCTGCGGTCATCTTGTTCATCAGGGCTGCGCCGCAAATTACGTAATTAGATGCGGCCGGGTGTTTTCCCTTGAGTACGAGGACGAAGTCTCCTTATCCGAATGGCGGACCCGCTGCTGGTGTAGATTCGACTCGGACTCTTTTCGAACGGCGGATATCTCGATTGGTGAGTTGCATTCATCCATTTTGTAATATAATTTTATTATGTTTAGTAATTTTTAATTTCCTAATTTTTTTACTAATTTTTTTACTAATTTTTTTTTCAGTTTAACCTAACTTTTATTTATTTACTTATTATTTTTTCGCAGTATACCCCTTGCGGATGGAAGGAGACTTAGAGTCTCTCTCGAACCGACCCAGTGACCCCCCCTCAGAGGACGCCTTCCTCGACCCTCCAGTAGTGGATGAAAATAGGGAGCCCATTGAAGAGTACTTCTTCGAGGCGGAGGTCGTGCTCACTCCTCTCCAGCCCGTTGCTCCATCTCACAATGCTGTTTCTCTCGTTCCTGTCGTCCCAACCTTGGCTGAGGATGCGGCTGAGAGAACTTCTGGCAATAAGTCGACCACTGAGCTGGATCCCACTATGGACACAGCAGACGAGCAATCTTCGTGGTCAACTGGATCCTGGAGAGACGAGCCGTATGAGTGTGCACATTGCGGTAAGTTTCCTTATTTCCTTAGTAGTTGCAGTAATAGTAGTAGTGAGAGTTTACTCACGTCAGGTTTGCATATTTACCCTCATTCATTTTCTTATCTTGCTTGATTGCAGAGTTCACGTCAATGGAGTACCACCTCATGAGACTTCACGATGAGAACGAGCATCCTCTCCTTTTCGAGTGCATGCTGTGCTACCTAGAGAACCGGAATCGCGGGGTCATCCTGGACCATCTTCCTAATTTCCATCGCATCCGTGGTTTGCACACCACTCAGTTTGTGGCTCCTTACTAACAGTTTTTTTTAGTTAATTATCGCTCGGTTACAACTAGGTTATTCTTTATTATATGACCTATTATAACCTATTATTCTAGGTTATTCTGCAATCCCATAACTCTTTTTAAATGATGCTTAACTGACTTCACTCCGCTTTCCCAAAGACCTCCAAAATGTGGCGCGGCTGGTGGATTATAGTGCCATGTAATTCCTTCATCGGCAAGAATCTGGAATATTTTCTGATTACGATTATTTGATTTTGATAGCTTTATAAATTCTTTTAATTCTTTATCTCCGCCGACAAAATTTGTTCCATCGTCACTATATATGTCCGACGGCTTGCCTCTTCGTGCTGTGAATCTTCGTAATGCTGCTATGAATGCATTCGAACTAGCATCACTCACGATTTCCAGATGAATTGCCCTCGTAGCACAACAGATGAAGATGCATAAATAAGCTTTCAAAGTTATCTTACTTCTCGGTGTAATTGGTTTAATTAGAAACGGTCCAGCATAATCCACTCCACAATTTTTGAACGGTGGGGCTGGATTTATTCGAAATGACGGCAGATTAGCCATCATCTGCTCCATTGTTTCCGCTCTCAATCTTGTGCATACTATACAATTTCTTATTACTTTTCTAATTGCATCCTTTCCTCGCACAATCCAATATTTTTGTTGTAGATACGATAGTAGCGCTTGCGGCCCTGCATGTAAGTTTAGTAAATGGGCCTCTTCAATTATTAAGGATGTTAACCTATGCTTCTGGGGTAGAAGCATGGGATATTTTTTATCTGGAGACATCTTCGCATGTGCGAGCCTTCCCCCCACACGAAGAATGTGTTCTTTGTCCAGAAATGGATTTAACTGTAACAGTCTACTTTTATTAGAAAGTTTTCCATTCTGTAGCTGCACGATTTCTTGGTTAAATTCTTCTCCTTGAATGATAACAATCCACTTTTTTATTGCGACATCAAGTTCATTCGTAGATATCCCACTTGTTAATTTATTTCCAGTTACAACGCCTTGTTTAGACTGGAATGAGTGCACACAATTATTTTTGAAACGTAATAATAGTGCTGTGATTCTTTGTACTCGATTAATTGATGAATATCTTAATAATAATTCATTTGGTACATTAATTGTTGTCATCTGACAGATAATATTTTCACGTTTTTCGTCCCTTGGATCGGGCACGTGTTGAAAATCTTCTGGAAGTACTGGTTCGGCAATTTTTTCAACCAACCAGCTTGGTCCATTCCACCATAATTGGTGGTTTATTAATTCTTTTACGGTAATTCCTCGAGATGCACAATCAGCTGGGTTGTCCACACCACGGAGGAATCCCCAGTTTTCCGCTGGTAAATTTTCTTGAATTTTTGAAATACGATTGGCGACGAAGGTATGATACTTATATGGCTCGGATTGCACCCATCGAAGTACTAATGTGGAATCTGTATACGCAAACATCCGTGTGAACTTGATTTTTAATGCTTTTGCGACTGACGGCATGAATTCTGCAAGTAAGACGGCTCCACATAGTTCCAACCTGGGTAACGACTGCTTTTGCACTGGGGCAACTCTTGTCTTTGATGCCACTAAGTACGATAATCCATTCCCATTCGAATCATATGAGACCAAGTATACTACGGCTGCGTATGCTTTTTCAGATGCATCACTAAATCCAATTAAATAAGTCATACATTTTTCCCAGCATGCCCTGATTGGGCTCTCGGGATGTGTAGTTGCTTCAGATCTTGTAATTCGGATTTGAACTTGCTCCACGTATTTTGAATGTATTCTGGGACTTCATCATCCTACTCCGTTTTTTCTTTCCATATAGTCTGCATTAAGATTTTCGCTCTTATAACTATCGGAGCGCACCATCCTATGGGATCAAATAGCTTTGATATTTCTGACAGAACAACTCGTTTCGTTAACGATTTATTGGAGCAATTATTGAACATGTCAGTTTTGAATCCGAATGAATCATCCACTGGGTTCCAGTAGATTCCAAGGGTCTTGATGGTGGCGTCCTTATCGAAAGCTAACAACGTTTTTGTTTCTCTCAACTCTTCTGGTATAGATGAAAGCACTCTTTCTGAATTTGAGGTGAATTTCCTAATTGAAAAACCTCCTAATTGTAATAATTCTCTGATTCCCTGCTGAATTTTAATGGCATCTTCTTCATTGTTTACGCCAGACAACAGGTCATCCATGTAGAAATCTTGCTTTAATATTTTTGATATAATTTCAAAGTTGTGCTGATTCGCCAACTCTTGTAACACTTTTGTGGCCAAATACGGACCTGACGCTGTGCCATAGGTGATTGTTAATAACTTGAAATGTTGTAGTGGTAGATGTGGAGCTTCTCTCCATACTATATGTTGTAACTCTTGGTCTTCACTTGACACAAGAATTTGACGATACTGTTACGCGTAATAAATTATGCAAGGACAAGAGGAGTGGTTGGAAGTATTTCCATTTTATGTGGATTTTATTATAAAAATTCAAAAATTTAAATTTTCTTACATATAAAGATTTCCAAAACCAAATGGCTCAGTCTTACGACTTTAACCGACTAGGTTATGGAGACAGAGGGAGAGAGATTGATTCTGCTGTACAATTTTCCAGCCTTTTTATACCAGGTCTGGACAAAGAAATCATGAAAACATCTTCTTACTGCGTGATCATTGAAGGACTTGTTATTGTCATAATAATAGTTCAAGGATGAATAAGGGTCTCCTCAAATACACTCAAATATATATATACATATTGTATAGTTATTTCTATAGTCTATTTCTTAACTTTCTCCTTCATATTTTATAGCGTAACAGATACATCTTCTCTATATCTCCATTCAACGCTAGAGCATGCTTTCTGATGCGCATAATCAGATCTGCCAGCTTATCCTGTACTGACGGACCGATCATCATAGTATTGACGGACCGATCGTACTGACGGACCGATCATCATTTAACGATAATCCATTAGACGTTTTGGCGGACGCGTCAAAAACTACACGAAATTTTGTCGTGGTTGACGATTCCTTCACAATAAAATGATGGGGGAGATAACATCTAAACGTGCTATCTTTATTTGGCGGTGGTACTTCTACCATATGGCCTAAATTCAAATATTCGTCCATAAACTTTTTGTATTCTTTAACAAATTGTTCATTTTTGTGGAGACGTCGGTCAACTTCGTTGAAACGATTTATTGCAATATTTAAAGAGTCCCCTAATTGCACTTTATGAATTTTAATTGGGTACTTCACAATGAATACACCCTCTTTATTTCTTTGTACTGTATTTTTGAAATGTTCCTCACACTGTTTTTCTTCAGCACTAAGGAATGGGGAGTCCTGGAATTTTTCCATTTCCCAAAAACCTTTTAATAATGAATCCAGTTTCAAGCTCTGGTCCTTCTCAATTGATTTATTTACTTGAGAATTATACAATTTCACCTCAGTTTTATTCCTTGTTCGTCCTCCGCCTATCAGTACACCCAATTGTGAATTGATAGCCATTGGTTTGTTGCAATCCACGTCCTTCCCCCCATCGATTATACTGTGGTAGAGTTCAGCTCCTATCAGTATATCGATATCAGAGGGTATATGAAATCCTGGATCAGCCATTTGATTATTTGTTTGATTTATTTTGTTTTGAAGATAATGCACAGTATTTTGACCTATCTTCGAAAATGGCAACCGACTAATTTTTGGTACCACGAATGCTTCCATTTGGAAGGTTTTGTTTGTGTCAAAGTGCGGAGAAAATAGAACATTTACTAATCCTCTGCTACACCCGACGTTATTTTGCCCTAACCCAGAAATTGACGCATAGGTTTTTTGTTGTGGCAACCTTAAACGATTTGCACACGATACAGTTATAAAATTGTTGCTGGCTGCACTATCGAGCATTGCCTTACACCTCACCAATTTATGTACATTATTGTTTACTGCCACACATGCAGTTGCTATTTTTAAGTGTGGTGAATTTTGTGTAAATATTGCATTAGGCGAAAACAGATTATCTTTTTTATTATATGAACTAATTTGGGGTATTTTAATACATTAATTTATTGAGGGAAATTGATACATATTTAATTGCAATCTCACTTCCTTCCATTTGAGGTAAGTTGAGACTTGCGATCTACTCTTGCGTAACAGCGTTTGCTTTAGCACGTAAAATTTGCGGACCTGTTTGGTGGTGGACCTTGGCTACTCTTATTCCACAGGTCGGACACGAAAGCGCGCGACCTGCGTAACCAAAACTCGGCGATATATTTAGCTTTCCCGGAATTGTGACCGTGGAAAGTAATGTACATGCGAGTTTCTGCAGGAGCGTTCTTTTCTCATGCATTTATGTAGCAGTCGACTCTTCCACTGCTGCGTCGGGTATGCATATGCATCATGTGTATCTAGCTGGATGAGAGCGAGGGTTTTTCTCTCTTTGTTTCATCCATCCATCCATCCAACTGTACCTATGCAGAATATCTGCATGCAATGCAACACAAATTGCACCCAACTTTTACACATTTGTCAATCTTACTTGCTGCATCCAGCAACCTATGTCCCTGTGCATGTTTCTAAACAAAATGCAAGTTAAATTTTTTTTTATTCGAATTTTTAGTTTTTGTAATTTTGTAATTTTGGATAATAGCAAAAATTTTGTGATTTGTATAAATCCCAAAACTTATTATTTTTACTAAATCCAGGAGGTAATTCTGAAAATGCTTGCTTCTAATTTTCTGATTTCGAGTCGAAAATAAAAAAGTTACAGTGATTTTAAAATCCGAAAATTCAGATGAAGAATTATTTCAATCAAACGCAAGGCGGTTAAATTAGCGCATTATTTAAAGAACAAAAATACATGTTCGCTGATTTTCGGATGTGAACAAATTAAAATTAGTCTCATTAAATTTGATAATATACACCGGAGTTGATTCGGGTCATGGGTTTTTGAAAATCCGATCCGTTTCTCGGATTAAAAATAAAACCCGTTTTGACCCGATCCGTTTTTTGGATTCTCAAAACCCGATCCGATCCGTTTTTCAGAAGGCCCATTTTGACCCGTTTTTCGGGTGAAGCCCGATCTGTTTTGGGTATATAACAAGCCCGATTTTTTTATTATTAATTTTTGAGGGATCCAAATAATTCAAAAGCATGTTCTATAATTTAACCAGATGCCAAATCCACTAATTGTCACTACAATTCCAACAGCAACGTTTTCTTTTGAATATATTTAATTAAATATTATCCAATCATAGGTTCTGAATTCCTACACTGCTTGGTTTATTTGCTCTAAATATCTAAATATTATAATTTTGAAATTTAAAGTCCAAAAGTATTAGCTAATAATAGCTACTAATATTTTTAGTAGATTGTAAACGATGCTACAATCATATATTTATTATTCGTTGATATTGGGGCACATCAAGTAGTCATTTATGTCACAAATCTAACTCTTTCAGACTACATATTTTTACAAAACCTACATAAGTAGCTTGACAACAAAAAAAACATCACGCCCAGATTTTTTAGACTTTGGCCAAAATAGTAGCTAAGTTGGGCCAAAATCCACTTTGTCCTTCAATAACAAATCACTCTTCCTTCAACACAGGAGAATCTTCTACCCAACCGATATCCATGGGCTCAACAGCATTCCTTCTGTTCGGGTGGAGACCGATTGCAAACTTCGTTACAGGCGTCAACATATGTTCCCTGTGCTTGAACCGTTGTCATGGCAAATTCTGTCCATTAAAAAATAAAATAAAAAAATAAAATAAAAAAATAAAAAAACAAAAAATAAAAAGTCCATTAAATGAAAAATCTCATAATTATTATATTTATAAACTTTCTTTGCAATTAGTCTTATGGTTCAAGATACGCCCCAATAATGCACACACTGTTAGTGTGACATGTCATTTTAAAATTATAAAATGAACATACTCACGACAACGTCTTGTTTTGCATCGCAACTTATTTAGCAAACTTGCGAAAATCAAAATATTTGCGTCGCGAGGGGATTCGCATATCTCGCAAATCTACTAACAATACCTATTTTGTCGTTGTTTCCATGGATTTCTGTAATTTCTCTTGAGGATGCGTTTGCGAAATAAGCTTGCGAAATAAGAACATGCTCAATTGCTGGGTAAATTTGCGAAAAAAATCCCATGGTTTTCCAGCAAAATTTTTGCGAACTCTCGCACATCTTCGCAAGTTATGTTGCTATGCTTAATTTGCAAGATATGCGAGGGTTGACGTGAGTACGCTCAATATAAATTAAATTTGATAAATTAGGTAAAAAGTTAGTAAATGTGGACAAACCTCCTAAAACGAGCAGAGCTGCAAAAAATATGGTCGCCGTTTTCATAATTTCTGTCGGAGTAAGTAAATATGTAGATGAAAAATGTTTCCAATGCGGCTACTTTTCGAGATATGTACACTCTTAGCAAACTGGTAATAAAATTTTAATAACGATCTTTACCAAGCCCCTGGTAAACAGAGTTGTTCCACAGTGGTAATAATACTTATTACTAGGTTTATTACTGTTTGGTAAAGACACGACTCCACGTGTTGGTAATATTCGTTATTACGTATTTGGTAAAGATTTATTACCGCGGGTTTCGAATAATTTGATAACAAAGATTTTTACCGTCACTACATGAAGTTTTACCATGGCGTAATAAATTATTACTGATCTAGTAACGAAATTATTTATTACCAACCAGTAACAATTCTTTACTATTCTGGTAGAGTCATATACTTGTACGGCTTGGTAATGATCTCGTAACAATTTTTTTAAGAGTGTAATAGTATGATTATGGCGATTTGCTGCTTTTATATGCATAAAAGGGTTGATTGACATCATTTCTAAGAAATTTGTCAAGTTCAATGAATGAGAATCAGGGTTCCGAACAGTGTTTTGCGTGTTTTTGTTCGGTCAGGTGTCCGTCTACTGCATATACATATCCGCATATGTACCTACACTCTAAATAAAAATAACTAAAATTTACCCACGGTTGAGTAAAAAAGAGGATGACACAACAATCGGGTGAAATTTTCACAAACGGTTGGACAAGTATTACACAATCGTTGGATAAATTTTACACAAGCAACACTGCATTCAACACGGTATTTTGGAACCCTGGATGAGAATACGTAGTAAATATTAGCATTTTGGTTTTCCAGCTAGAAACGTGGTGATGAATAATAAACAAGTTCGTATGAATTGGAAAAAGGTTTTTACCCGGTGGAAATAATAGTGTCTGTATTTGTTTACTTGTCATGCTTTGAAATGCAGTGACGAGATTTTTACCAGATTAGCTTCCCCAGGGTGCACGATGGATTAAAAATGTGTTTAAATAATTTAATTTAACATTTAATACTATTAAATCATTTAGGGTTTTTTTTATAGAATTTCTAATTTCTTGCGGCGGAAAAGTATTTATCCTTAACTCTTAGAAATGGGGTTACGATTATAACCAAAAAGTAAAAGTATGTGACTCTGCCACCGTGGTTATACATTTGTCATCGAGTGGTTACAATTGTCACCGACTAATTATAAAATTTCACTGACTTGGTATTAAATTTGTAACTATTAAATTTGTAAATTAATGTGAAACTTACATTTCATCGTAAGCATTTGAAATTGGGCATGCACATGCATTAAAGTGCTGTGCACCACAATTTATAATCAGTTTCCGTTCCAATCAGGGAGAATTTTTTGCAAAAAATTGAAAAGCAACTGAATTCACATGATCCGTTATTGGGACCAGTGTTTCTTTTAGTGCGCACGAAATAATTTTTATGCATGCATGGTGCATAAAAATTCACAAAAATGCGTAACAACATATAAAAATGCACAAAATGCATAAAAATACCTGAAATACAATTTTGGCAGAGAATTTCATATTTTTAAGAAATTTTATACTTTACTACCCTGAATGGGGAAGTAAAATTCAGTTGTCTATACTTCTATAATGGTTTGAAACCTTTCCACAACACTTTCTAGCCCTTGGCAGAGCTTATGTACTCATCATACATAGTTGGCATCAATTACGCTAGTAAAAATTCTATCCTATCTACTTGGAATACATAAAATTTTGACTTGAAAATTTTGACCTTTTACATGAAAATTTCAAACAAGGATTTGTTTTTCTATAAAATTCAAGCCGTGTAAAATGTTAATAAAAAATTGTCGAGTTATAATTTCACCAGCTTTTAGAGACTTTCAGTTCAAATATTAAAATACTAAAAAGATGAATAAAATGTCATATTTACAAAACACAGCGATTTCTCAACTATGGGCTAGCAGATATTTAGAAAAATTAAAATATTACAATATTATTTGCACCTAAATCAGTTTCGTGCATTTTCATGCACTTTTCCGATTTTTTGATGGGTGTTATTTGACGTTTAAAAAAACATTTTCGTGCAGATGTTATTTAACAGCAGAAGCAGCTAATTAAAAAAAGGTAGAACTTTTGATTGAAAAACGATTTTCAAGTTCTGTTTTCGCAGCTCTCTTTAATCTGAGTTGGGAAAGTTTTTGAATTTTGAAAGAATTTTTTTGCGACTTAATTACAATATAAGGGGTTCTATGGGGAGGGTCCCTACTGCGATTAGCAGAATTTGAGATGGAACATTATGTGGTTGCTTATTAAATAACCTAAGAGTGTTTAAAAAAAGTATTTAGCGTATGACATTATTTATTGTCCTTACAATACACGTTGGCAGAAAGGAATTATATAATTTAAGTAATATTATTTAAATTCATGCACCAATAAACTCTGACTAACTGGGCCAGTAGGTCCTTTTAACCGAATATTGCTGTGAATCGGATTATCGTCATGAATAAACAGTTTTATAAACACACACATCTGCCCAGCCATGCAAAAATAGGAGCCTCCTCGCGACAGGTGAATCTTTCTTTTACTGACAATGCAACACCGTGAAGTGTTTATCTCAAATCTTAATGGAACTAACAATGCGATGGTGTGAAGTGCAACTCTCCGATTTGGCTGAAATTTTGGAATTATGTGGTCCAAGTCGATACAACCAACGTTTCTTGAGGCAGTTTGTGCGATGGTTGGGCTTTGTCAAAAAATTTGAGGTGAAAGTTGAAAAACGGGTGATTTTTACCAAGCGGAGGAAGCAAATTCCACTTCCATTCTTTTTAAATGGAAAAATCGCCCGTTTTTCAACTGTGACCTGAAATATTTTGACAAAGCCCAACCATCGCACAAAGTGGGTCAAGAAACGTTGGTTGTATCGACTTGGACCACATAATTCCAAAATTTCAGCCAAATCGGAGAGTTGCCCTTCACACAATCACATTGTAAGTTTAATTTATTCACATTCAAAAATAAGCGGACCCGTATTTTTATTCTAATTGATAATTCGCGTGGTTAAGTGCCTCGCGGGAGATTCAAATAATTCAAATTTTTATTACACAAATTGAGAATTTTTGGATTTTCAAATTGCCAAAACTTTTTATATTTTAGCGCAAATTAGAAAATTTAAAGACGTATTTTCTTAAAGTTACTTGTTTCAGCTTTTTAAAATCTATTTTCATTTTTTTTTTAAATTTTTAGTTTTTGGAATTTTGATAATTTTGTATAATAACAAAACTCTAAAAAAATTGAAATTTGTAGAAATTCGAAAAACCATTATTTTTCCTGAATGCAGGAGGTAATTGTGAGAATGCTTGTTTTTAATTTTCTGATTTCACGCCAAAATTAACAAAGTAATTTAAAAATCTGAAAATTCAGCCGACAAATTATTTTAATCTCCACGCCGTCAAATGCGAGCATTATCGAAAAATCAAAATACGGGTCCACTTATTTTTGATTGTTACTCAATTAAAATTAGTCCCATTAAAATTGTAGATAAAGATAAACACCAAACGATGTTGCATTGTAAGTATTTAATTGTCGCAAAACTCTGTTTCGGTTTAAAATCCATGCCAAAATGCTGGCATGCTGTGACCGATTTTTGTACCTTATGTTATCCATTACCTGTCGATAACTCTGTTTTATTTATTTATTTGCCTTACGTCTACGTTTTCACATTTCTTGAAACAAGATAAAGGATGAACACCAAACGATGTTGCATTGTGAGAGACAGACCTTGAAATCAGGATAAATGACAATGAAAAGAAATGATGCATCAATGTCTGTCTCCCTATTGTGACTCATTTCTAAAGATTCTCGTGCACACAATGGCTTTCATGTAACGGTGATTGCGTCTTATGTCGGATCGAGACTTTATTTTTTTCACTTTGAGAACCATTCCAACCCAGTCAAACTTTTGGTAAAGTCATTCCCAGAGCAAGGTTGCCAGGAGGATTTAGAATTTCGAAAATTAGTGGGAATGCATTTATTGCGATATTTCTGTCTATTTTTCTGCCTTGGGAGTAGTTCGGGATGGAATTTATTTCCATGGAGGGCTACAAAAAATTCACTCGGGAATTTCACGAGGGAGAAACTATCTTCTTTGAGGAACCAACGGAATCGCTTGCAGAGTCTGGTCATTGAGGAGAAAAGGGCAGAAATAGGGAAAAAGGTGACGTTGAATTCATCCCTGGCGACGAAATTTTCAAGGAAAAATTTCGTGAAAAATTTTGTACCCGTGAATGAAATAATTGAGAAAAAGTCTGACAAAAGGAAGCCACAGGTGAGGAAATAAATAATATGAGACAAAGGTGCAGTTGACTTACATATAAGAATGTATATAAAATTTGTGTATTAAAAAATTTGGCAGAGTTTTGATCCACGTCTGGAATTGGTTGACAGAATGTTGAAATCTGAAAAAATGAAAAATATTTTAAATCTATTTCCGGCCGAGTTTGGAATTAAAATAAAAAAGATATTAAAGATCGATGGGTTGAAAAATAGGTAAGGGGGGTATATTTTTATTGATTGATTGATAATCGATTCTTTATAAATTAGAGATATTTATGATTTTTGTAGTCATGAAGATTCTTCGGGAATTAATTTTGCCGCTAGTAGAGGAGGAGGAGGGGGTGGATGGGGATGGGGGATGGGTGGTGAAATCGACGCATTCACCATTCTGGCTGCCTTAGCTTTCTTAACGTATTGACCTATTTATTTATTAAATATTGACAAGTTCCCTCTAAACAAAATTTTAATGAATCATTACTGCGCGGAGTGCGTATATGACTCTACCGCGATAGTAATGATTTGGTATTAAAACAATACTATATGGTAAAAAAATTGATACAAATTAGTGTTAAAATTATTACCAAAAAGTGTTATTTTATTACTAAATCTATCCCAACATGGTGTAAATTTTTAATTCCAATTATTCAGCTTCGTCTGCTCCATTTAAATATGTAAATATCTGTCTGTCCTATATATGCATCGTTTCCATGTTTCGTGTTTTTGCAACGAGTTAATCCTCAACCAGAATCAACTTTATACCTAAAAATCAATGTTTGTCCGTTCCAATTATGTAGTTTTCACTTAAAAATGGAACGCTATTAATTAGGGTTGCCGCGGGTAGCGAAAATGCTACCCCTTACCCGGCCCGCTACCCGCAGCCCAACTACCCGTACCCGCACGGGTACCCGTGCGGGTACCCGTTGCCCGTTACCCGTTTTGAGAATTCAGTTAAACATTAACCAACTACCAAAATAACACGGATTTAATTAATTAGTTATCCTTCTAGGTTAATAAGAACTTTGAGAGAGTGCTACTAGAAATTGCTGACGATATAATTAGCTGTATTTAACTAACTGCTCATGAAAGCAAACTTATTGACTTAGGGGTAGCCAAGAAACAATGAGACTTAATTGTTGACATTTTCATTTAAACGACATTTTTTATTTAAAAACACTGGCTTGCAACTTCAATTTTTGCTTTAAATCGTATCATATTTTTTTACTCCTACAAAAACTAGTTGAAAGGTCACCAATACCACATTACTCTAAAATTACTGAAATCTTGAATCAAGTATCGTAAATACTCTATTTATAGCCCTATTCTATTTATAGCCGGCTCTGGAGCCCAGGATTTTTAAAGTTTAGCTAGATCTATAATTATAGCCGGGTCTCTGATTTTGAGTTGCCTTGTCCGCTGTCTGTATTTGTAGCATGCTCAGGAAATGCCACATATTTAGTTAAAGAGTAAGATTAAAGTTTGCACAATTATTAATTTTACTCTTTAATAAGGATGTGTACGATCGTGACCAAAAATTTAAAAAAACTACTAAATCTTGATGAAAGGCGATGATTTAATTTAAATTCCCAGTGAACGCTGTCCTAATGGCACATCCTATTAAATAAAGCAAATCTTAAATTGTGTTAACTTGAGTTAAGCCTGAGCTTGTAATGTTCCAAATTGTAGCGAAAACTAATTTTAGCCGGGTCTCTAATTATAGCCGGTGTCCAATTATAGCCGGGTCTGTGAGGTTCAGTTTTGGATTTTAGCCCCGGCTATAAATAGAGTATTTGCGGTAAGTTTTGCTTGAGAAACGATAATTTCTTCCCGTTTTCTGAATTTATAATGGAATGGTGTGAAATGCAACATTCCGATTTTGTTTAAATTTTGGAATTGTGTCGTTCAACTGAATGCAGGACAATTTGTCAAAATATTTGGGATCAAAATTGAAGAATTACCGATTTTTATTGGGGAGGAAGTGGATTTTTCCCCGCTTGTTAAAAATCGCTCTCTTTTCAAATTTGACTTGAAAATTCTTGATTAATTCTTACTATCCCACAATAAACTTCCTTAATAGACACGTTGGTTGTATTGACTTTAACCTTATATTTCAAAATTTCAACTGCTCACTGGCTGCGCAAGGCGAGCTATTTAATTATGTAGAATCGAAATACCCGTTACCCGTGCGGGTAGTAGTAACTACCCGCAGACAAACGGGTACCCGCAATATCGTGCGGGTATGCGGGTAACGGGTACCCGCAATATCGTGCGGGTATGCGGGTAACGGGTACCCGCAATATCGTGCGGATATGCGGATAATGGGTGCCCGCAATATCGTGCGGGTAACGGGTACCCGCAATATCGTGCGGGTATGCGGGTAACGGGTACCCGCAATATCGTGCGGGTATGCGGGTAACGGGTACCCGCAATATCGTGTGGGTATGCGGGTAACGGGTACCCGGCCCGTTACCCGCGACAACCTTACTATTAATCCCCGCGACCCATTTTATAGTGAATTCCATTAATTTAATATCATTTGGGTCATGAATCAAATCCCTTGCAGGATATTGATATTCCCATTTTCATGCGTAGTTTATTAACCCTGCAAATACCATCCATATAAAAGGACAGAGGACTCGCTCTTCAGCTAGTTCGTACTTCAAGATAGAAATCTGGTATAGTCACGAAGGTATTGATTTCTCGGTATTAAAACTATACGGATCGGTAAAAAATTTGCTACCAATATATTAATTGTCTGGATATGCAATCATATATTTCAGTTTTCGATGTTTCGCCCCGTGGCGATTTTAGGTCGCAAACCTGTCCTTGGCGAAAGAATCCTGTGGACGTCAAAAAAATCCCTCACGGTTGTATGTTGGCTCATTTTCCTCGTAATCGCATGTAGTATCTAATAAAAAATGTCCGAAAGTCGAAATAAAATTATCCTCGGACTTTTTTTTTCGACGCCTCAAATTTTTTCTGGCTTTCTCTGACCTTATCTGGCCGTAGAACCTTTTGACATTTTTGTGCGGAGTTTGAGATTTCAAAAACTACAGTCGATATAAAAAAGATGTCTTTGTTGTCGTCGTCGGAGTTTGGCAGAGATATTTTGATCCGAAGAGGGGAAAACGCGCATTAAATTTTAAAGTGCAAAATTTGGGCTGCTCTCTTATTCGGATGCCCAAATCATTAGGCGGGAGGTCGTCCCTTTTTTGCAAATTTCACACTAATTAAATATAGTGTTGGCTAGGTTACTAGTCAACATATGAGAGGATATGCTGGGAGACCCCAGATTGTAAATAATTTATTAAACACGTATTATTCAAACATCCACAGCAATGAAGACGAAGACCATAGTTCTTCTGACGATCCTCGTTATCGCACTTTTCTGCATCTTTGAAGCCAACGTGGTAAGTAAATTTTGTAAAAGTCGTTCCCACGAGGTAACATTGTAAAATTCATAAACTCCTTCGCTTAAAAATAATAATTTCCAAAGAAAATTCAGTCAACCTGATTTTTGGATATACATTTTAATTCACATGCATTCTTTTTGGTTGAAGGTCATTTCATTTCACTGCATTTCTTACTTCGTCTCATGCAATAAGCATTGGATAAAAATGAAAGATTGAGAAATTCTTTCATTCCTTTCATTCGTCTGAAATGAGGGAATCTTTCATTCACACGAAGGGGAAATATTCATTTATTATCATACTCATTCATATGAATGAAAGTGAACAGGTGACATACGTAGGATACCGATGGGTGGTCAAAAGCCCGGTGTTTTTGACGACGTGGCACATATTTGGAGGCTCCCTTGCTAGAAAAATAAAATTTATTGTAAAATTGTACATGATCAAGCTATATTTTAAATAAATATTTGCATAGGTCGAAGCGAGATGTAGAGGACTACGAAGGGCGGCTTGTTATGCAAAATGCGCACAGAAGGGACTCGTCTGTATCTGGCCGGACGGAAGGTGTCAATGCGAAACGTTCTAGAATGGACCTATTAATCCAAAACAATGGTGCCTGCCGATATCGAAATTCGATAAATATTATAATATGGATTAAATTTAATTTTTTATGGAATAATTTGAAATAAAGTTCTTATATAAGACTATAACTTAAACTTACGCATCATAAGTTATGATGCTTCTCAAATGAATTAGAAATAATTGATCAGCTGAGTAATAATTTATTGCGCTATTTTAGAAGGGTACATAACGGAATCTTACTTCATTTAATATTTTCAGAAAATATATAATTTCTTGAAAATACACAAATTCCCTGCCGGAATTGAATTTCATTCATTTTTGTGCATTATATGCACTGTTATGCATTTTCATGCATTATGCATGTATTATGCATCATGCATTATATATGTGTTACATACATAAAAATAATATCTTGGGCATAACTAGTATATACGGACGCCAATTGACGGGAAAAACAAGCCCGTCGATAAGCCCGTGACTCCAAGCAAGAAATTTTCATAGAATGAAAACATGAATGTCGTGAAGTGGGCCTCTCTGTGCAGAGCGAGTAGAGAGAGAAAAAAGAGGCTAACTTCGCAACTAAGCCACCCACCCAGCCACACACTCGCTTGTTTTAAGTTTAGTAGATATATTATACAAAATTCAAAATTTGGATTCGCGACTCTACTTCTATATGTTTTCTTTATGGTAAGTAATAATATTTATTTTTCTCATCACAACAAAAACATTGCTGAATTCGCTAAGAAGTAAACGACCCATTTTTTATAAACTCCCAACACGAGCAAATTTAAGTTAACCGTTTCTTGCAAAATGCCAAATAACGCGTTATTATAGAGGGGAAATCGATCCACCAAATTTCCCCTAGAATCACGAATTGGCGTCGAAACGATGCTACGAATCAATCAAACGGTGGAGATCATGGCTTACAAAATTGCAAAAATATAGACGGGATAAAATAGTTAAATCTTATTTCCAAACCTACGGACATCTTGACGATCTGAAAAAGAAGGCGCTTTATAATTATATTAAATAAGTATTTTTAATTTAATTCCTTCAATTAATTTAATAAAAAATTATGACCACTATTTCTTCACGTTTATAAAACTTGTCAAGAAAACTTTATTCATATTAAATTCCAACAGAGTTTAAAATTTTCTAAAATTTGCAAAATATTAATGTCCCTTATTTTAATCTTGATTAGCCAATTATATCTTGATACGAAATGCGTTAGATAATTTTAGGATGCTTTATAGAAATTATGAATAAACCGTTTGTAATAACCTTTTTAGGTCGTTACATTCGTTATCCGAATGGGTGGACTATTTAGTTTTCACGTGGGAATATACATCACTTATTAAAATTCAGCATTAGTAAACCTAAGTACTTATTTAAGCATTAGAGGATACTCTGCACGGGTCAATTAATCAAAATCAAATTCATAACACCCCCCTCCTCTCATTATTAAACCTGGCAGAAGAAAATGCGTCAAAATTACACATTCACAGGTTTGCATAGGGGGCCATCCATATATTACGTCATCAAAAATTCTCCATTATACGACCCGACGTAAGCATTAAGGGATAGGGAATTTTAACAAGGGCAAGATAGTCCACCAAAACCATTAAAATGATGACGTAATATATGCACGTTCCCAAACCTGTATTTTTTGCCTCCCAACGCACACTCATCCCATCGTCACTACTCTGACTCTGTTATGCTTCTTTTTATTGTGGGGCTGGTTACCTGGCAACGAAGGAAGTGTGTGTACAGGGAGGGATAAACAATTACCTACTCACCTTTATAAATATTTACTAGCATGCATCCTCACATCCAGATACATACACATATTGCAATAAAAACTGGTTGGCTATAGAGAGAAATTTTGCACACATGTCGCAAAAGCAAAAGTGTTTTTATCCTCTCGCACACAAAGTCACGTAGTCCCCAGGATTATTATTTTGTGGTCTTTATAAATAACATTAAATAAATATTTCGTGCAAATCAAACGGAATGTGATATTTAGTCAATTGAACGGGGGAACTAAAAATTTGATGGAAATGACAACGGTAACATTTACATAAATATATCGGCTTAATTTTGAACTTAGAAAATTTAGTATTTTTGTTTTGACACTAGTCCGTGAAACACTTGGTGACCGTGTTTTTTGTCCTGCTAAGTATCCTTTTTGCGGGAATAGGAGGTCAACAGTATTTCGATGGGTCGGGAAATACCCCGAATTCGCAGCATGTGGAGGAATGCAGTTTAACAAATTGTGATTCCTACGCAAAATGTCCGCATGGATGGATGGAACTTTACACGGAGCGATACAGTGAGAAAAATATTTTGTTTAGTGTTAAACCCGATTACTAAAAAATGTCACAAGACGATGGTGTAAAGTGTAACGCTGGGATTTGGGGGACATTTTAAAATTGTGTGGTCCAACCAACGTTTCTTGGGACAGTTTGTGCGATGGTGGGAATTGGTCGAAATATTTTAGATCAAAGTTGAAAAAATGAACCGTGATTTTTACCAAGTGGAGGAAGCAAACCGCATTCCCTTGGAAGCAAAAAGTCGTCCGTTTTTCAAATTTGAGGTAAAATATTCGACAAATTCCAACCATCGCACAAACTACGTCAAGAAACGTTGGTTGTATTGACTTGGACCACATAATTTTAAAATTTCAGCCAAATCGGAGGATTACACTTCTCTAGCATCATATTGTCCGTTATTTCCCACTTAACCTCTTTGTTACTAAAGTAACCTCTTTCCCCTTAAATATTTTTTAATAAAATTCCCCTTGAATTCGATGCTCATTTCATAACTACGTCTGATAGCAACCAATTAAATTTTCATGATTTTTTATGTACAAAATCCCAATATTTTTTCATCCAGTTTCCAAGTTTTGAGTTTTTCACGAAAAACACAAAATATCCACTTTTTAACATTGGTTGATATAGGGAAAATTTCAAAATTTGGGAGGAAAAATACCTACTTTTCACCATAGAGTTTTCCACAAAATACCCAAGAAACACTCTTATTTTTAAGAAATTTTGGTGTCATGTGATAATTTGATAATTTTTTTTGACACGTGATATGACGTATTTCGTCCTTAAGGGACAGTCGCCATGGTACATCATATGGCGTATTTGGCATGTAACGGAAATTTTAATGGTACGTCATATGGCGTATTTGGTCTCTTTGAGACCTGTTTAGGAATACGTCATATGACGTGTTTAATGTGAAAGAGGTTAAATTAGTTGAAAAGTCGTTATCGACAGATTTATTTTAGAATTGTAAAACTCAAAATTAAAAAAGTCAAAACACTCGAAAAATCCAAGGTTTCGGGTGACATTGACAAGTGACATTAAGTGACTGACATTAAGTGACAATAACCGGTTGTTGTCACTTGACATTTAGTGACATTAAGTGACAAGTGACATCAAGTCTTAAATTGGGGAAAGTGAGATAGAAGTAAACGAAAGAAGATAGAAGAACTTAAATAGATAGAAGTAACTTAAACTTCGTGGATTGATGCAACAGCTTCTTATTGTGATCCATTAGTGCCTATAAATAAAAATATACAGTGAAAATGAATGTACATAAGTTCGCGTATATAATTGGCACAGGTACAAATTGACAATGGCGCAACGCAATACCAATAATATCCCATATCCAATAGTTAATTCCATTTTTACAAGATCAGTTTTACCTATCTGATCTGCGTTCCCTCAATATACCTTCAAATATAAAATATACAATTATTTAATTTATTATGAGAAACGATGAATTTTTAACGCATTTTGCCTTGAGCAAAACCGACTGTGATGAAAAATCTCATGATCCGCGTTGATCTCATGATCCGCGTTTCTCATTTTCCCCCAATATTTGGCTTAATGTCACTTGTCACTTAATGTCACTTAATGTCGGTTATTGTCACTTAATGTCAATGTCATGACATTAGGCCTCCAAAAGTGGCATTAACGAAACCCTGGAAAAATCCACTTTTGTGGAAGGCCTTGATGCAGAAAAAGTTCAGGTTAAAAAAGTCCACTTCTTACCACGAATTTTTCCACATTTTACAATTGAGTTAATCCATTTTCAATTTTGTCATCAATTTTGGTTGTAAGTATTAAATTTAAAATTACACACATTTGTGTATTTCGTCCTCAAGGGAAAGTAAAATACTACACAAATGTGTATACTACACCGTCAAATTTAAAATTTTCAATTTTTACCTGACTAAAAAACGGGAATTTTGCATTAATTTTGAGACCTATACATATTTTCTTTTCTTATGTGACCATGCAAAACACACTTTTTCAAAACAGAAAAATTGCATGCATTTCAAACAAGTAAAATTATCCCATTTAATCTTTTTTTGACAAAATTCAAGATATCGTGTATTTTAAACCTTAGAGACCAAATAGATTAGAAATTTTCCATTGGCAACTAACATGAAAGTAGAAAATTGACAATAAATGACAATCACCATGGTGAAAAGTCGAATTTTTTCAACCGAATTTTTGAATATTTTCTACATCAACTCCATGTAAACATATGGAATTTTTATTTTTTTCGAATTCGTGTCATTTTTGAACATTAACAAAACTCAAATTCTGAGGTAAATGGCAACAAGGGCTTCGAAGTTACGGTCCAAAAGAGGTTCTAATTACAGTGGAATCCGGTTATAGTGAATTTCAAGGGACCTAATGAGTTCACTGTATCAGGAATTCATTGTAGCCGAATTTAGTGAAAAGAATTTTTAAAAAATTGTGTTAGGTATGTACATTTGTATTAAGTACATATTCAGACTATACTTGTGAATGTAGAGCATTAATTAGATGTACATACAAAACAGTTAAGAAAAAAATCTGCATTCTATGTATGTTTGTACATAGCAAGAATGATTTAGTTATAAACGTAGCCCTTAATTTCTACTGAAGAATATTCGACGAGATTATTCTAGATCCAATTTACCCAAAGCCGCATTTGTTATATATTTGACGATGGCAAACAATGTGTCAAATGCACATTTTAACTACTCGCAAATTAATTTCCTACTTTTTGATCAAGTTTATTGACAATTTATATGATAATGAAAGCTGGCACGAATAATTCTTGATATTATAATTATTTAATATGAATGATATTAAAGAATGGGATCAGTTTTGGAGGCAGGCAAAAAACACATACGTAAAAAAACGATCCAGCGTTCGGTAATTTGGAGAGAAATTCATTATAACCGGAGTATTTGCACGTCGGGAAGCTCAATTCGGTTTACTGTAACCGAAATTTCACACTATCAGGATTCACTATAACCAGACTATTCAGCATTGAAGAGCATAGTGAAATTCAAGGGAACCGAGAGCCCATTCATTAAAGCCGGAAGTTCACTTTAGCCGGATTCGCTATAAACGGATTCCACTGTATTATAATTTCAACCAAATTTTAAGCCCCAATTTAAAATTTATTTCATGGCTGGTAAACTCATACTACTCAGCCCAGGGTGCGTAAACTTTTTGGTTGTCCGTGGTTTCTCCTAAGGGGATGATGCAAGGATGAAAATTTTCATGCAAAAATTAAAAGTTGGGGCATGCAATTTTCCCATGAATTTGGTTGTCAACCGCATATCAAATTGCACGCAATTCCCCAACTTTTAATTTTTGAATGCAAATTTCCATCCTTGCATCATCCCCTTAGGAGAAACCACGGACAACCAAAAAGTTTATGCACCCTGTCGTCACCCGTTCCAATAAATATTCCCAATGAATTATTTCGTTAACCTTTCCCCAGCCTGTCCTGGTGGCCGTGAGAAGAAATATTGCTGCTCCGCCGGCCGCACGCCGCTCTGCTACCACACCCCCTGCGCCGGCCCTTCTCCCTCTTGTCTCAACGGCTACCGAGAATGGAGCCGCGGCGCGGCGCAGTGTGGGCGCAGGGACGAGCACACGCTGCACTGCTGCATAGACGGCCATCTCCCGCAGTGCTTCAACACCACGTGCTCCCCCGCGGGAGATGTTTCAAACCAATGTCCAGGCGGGTATAGTCAGGTCGCTTATTGGAAAGGGGCCGGTTGGGAGTGTCCACCCCACTTGGACATGCGGACTTGTTGTAGATCTGAGCAAAACCTTCAAAATCAGAATCCCTTTACCCAAGGAAACAACCCGTTTCAAAATAATCAACCAAATTATGATCGAAATTACCAAAATAGTTATCCAAACCAAAATAATAATTATAATCAGCAACAGAACTACCAGGGTAAAATTTCAGAATTTTTTTTATAAAAAATCAATTTAGCATTAAATGTCTCGAAAAACTGATTTTCCTAATGTTTTATATGTAGGTGGCTCCGATTTCCGCTCCGAGTCTTGTCAATACACTAATTGCGAAACTTATTCGCCACGATGCCCAGGGACGCATTCGTATGAATTATCAACGGACAAAAGTTGTAAGAAAAAAAAAATTTTTCCGGGTTATATAGAATTTTTACAAACAAAATTACCCCCTTTTTTATTTTCAGATTGTACACAAGGCCGAGAACGAAAACTTTGCTGTCGTCCCGGCCAACTTCCGCCGTGTTACGATACTTCCTGCCAGTCTGCCACGAACCTAAGGTGTCCCACTGGTTACCGGGAATGGAGCCGGGACACGGGCGCCTGTCGAGGAAGCGGGAACGAGCAGAGACTCCACTGCTGCGCGGATGGCCAACTCCCCACCTGTTACAATACGACATGCGCAGATAATCCGACCTGTGCGACCGGATTTTTAGAGGGAAATATCCCCTCATCAGGACAGAACGAGTGTGACTGGCGAATGTCGCGAAAAACTTGTTGTCGCCAGGGAAACAATGATTTCCAATTTGGCGGAAGAAGAGACGGGCTTTCCACACGGGGTGAATTTTTTTTTCAAAAGAAAAATATTTACTTCTAAGGAAACCGGTTTGTGATTATTTTAAATTTTCTTTTTTTAGACCAACAACAATCTCGCGGAACACCGGAAGGTTGTCTATTTTCAGACTGTCAACAATACCCCAGATGTCCGTTATCTTACAGAGAAATGTTTACTGACAGGAAAAGTTGGTTATAAAAAAATTTTAGGTTTAAATGTTCTCTTAAAAATTTTCAAAATTTGAAAATTTTAACAGCTTGTGCAAGCGGTCGGGAGAGGATGATGTGCTGTCGACAAGATCTCCTCCCCGAGTGTATCGATACCCTGTGCGAGTCCACCTATGAGGTCCGGTGTCCCAACGGGTACAGGGAACAGTCTCGGGGTAACCAGGGGTGCAGCAGTAGCCTAGATACGAAGCTGTATTGTTGCTCTGACTCCCGCCAACTGGGCCACTGTTACAACACGACTTGCACGAACAGCGGGGAGGCCGAGTGTCGTCGGGGGTATGTTATGATTGCAAGGGGAAAAGGGGTCGAGTGGGGCTGCCCCTGGACGGCTTATAAATCGACGTGTTGTGAAACTGCAAGTTGGAATGGTGGTCGTGGTAATTTTTACCACAACATTGGCCAGATAATAGTCGTTTCATTTCTGGTTTCATTTTTGAGGGCGTATGTTTCAGTTTAGAACAAAAATACAAGTTTCCTTATGTTTTTGGGAACCCGCGTTGTAAGCAGTGGCCATAATTCTTCTTCTACAGTGAGTAAGGGGTTCCAAGTTTGTAAAAAAATCGTTTTTTTCTGCTTTTTTTGTACATGTACAAGATACGAAACAATTGGGAAAAGCGAAAAAACGATTTTTTTGACAAACTTGGAAGTCCCTAATATCTTGTTTAATGCTTTATGGAACTTAATCCTTGTTTTTCTGTTTTTCGTGACTTTCCCTTTATGGAAAACCTAGGGGAAATACTAAATATATGTTTAGAAATATTGCATTTATTTAGTAAGCTTTATGTTTTATTATAACTTTACACGTTGACTTCGTTGAGGACATGTTCTTCCATGACCAAGGGAAACATACAGGGTTAAGACAACTGATATAGTAGTATTTTGCACATATTTGTTACTACTTTTGTAGCTTATGCACACATAGCTATACACAGATTTGTGAACTTGTAAAATTTTTCAGAGAAAATAAATGACAACTATTACCAAGCTTATTCATCTCTGAGGTGGCTACCCTCTGTCATTCTGAATTAAGTATTTAATAATTTATTTGTCAGTCAACCCAGGGTCATATACATGTATTCATATAATTAGATCGTGTAAACATTTCGAACCCGTTGTAATATATGTATGTATTTAGCGTTGGAGTGCCACAGCACATGGCCGTCGAGTAAAATTGTGGTGTTATTATTAAAATAATTAAAATAATCAACCAAATATTGACCTATGTATCAATAATGTTAACAATTTTCACAGTGCCAGTTTTTGCCACATTTACAGCAGACCTGTTCCTGTATCTTAACCTCTTTTTGAGAGTAACTTCCGTAAATCCCTTGTTGCCACTAACCCCCGAAATTGAGGTTTGTCAATTTTCAAAACTGATGTAAATTCGAAAAAAATATGTTTGCATGGATTTTATACATAAAATATTTAAAAATCCGACTTTTAGTCTGTACATCCCACTTTGATGACCCCCAGCACTGGTCGGATCAGAACCATCTTCTAACTTAAGGATTCCTTAATAAGGAAGGTAACGATACAGTGGTGCTCCAGGTGCCACACATACCCATGACATAAAATAGCACTTGCAAACATAATTTTTCGTGTTGAATTTCATATTGATCAAATTAGGCGGTTGGGGACCCATTGGCACGCCAACTTTATAATGGAAGGCGTATCAAGGCAGTGACCTTTTCCCGACCCAAGCTTCCTTTGCTCAGGACGCTTAGCTTGGGAAGTTTCATGGAAATTTCCATTCAAATTTTCACCAAATTTTCATCAAAATTTTCATTATAACTTTCATCCAAAATTGTCATCAAAATTTTCATTATAACTTTCATCCAAAATTGTCATCAAAATTTTCATGAAAACTGGCACACAGCTAAAATGCGCGTCGATTGGAAGAAAATTTTGCAACTAAAATGCGCATAAAAGCATGCAGATGCGTCTAATAGTAAGCTATTACTCGTGTAATTCAGAAGCATAAAACAAGCATAATACTCATGTCTAAAATGTGAGTATTATTCACATTGAATAAAAATTTTACGCACGCAATACTCACATTTTAGACACGTGTATTATGCTTGGTTATGCTTGTTTAGTATCCTAATATCCTATTTTAAATATCCTATTTTTATTGTGGCGGTCTTACACGTTATTTATGGTGGAGATTTCAAAAACCACCCTTAGTTTGACCTGAAATGACCCCGTGTCCGTGTAAAAGCTGTTTATGCAATGAGTAAAATGTGCATATTTCAAACAAATGTACATATCTCAGACAAATGTGAAGTGTGATCGTCGTAGATGTACTTTATGCCGGGGATTTAAAAAATCACCTTTATTTAGACCTATGATTACCCGGTGACTGTGTAAACGTAGCAAAATGTCACATTTCTTCACTTTCAATGACAGCGAAGAAATGTGACATTTTACACTAGTAAAACGTGCAAAGTTTAATATGCAAATATGTAAAGTTTCATAAATATATCTATATTAAGTAGTGGTCGTTTTGCATGATACAACCTTATGTAGGTACCTACATAGTTTTAAAGTTTAATCACTAGGCTTCACTAGGCTTCTGGCTATGTGAAAAGCATTGTACAAATGCACGTTTTGGTTTAGCTCTTGCCAAATATTTCGCTGAAACGTGATTTTGCACCCCATGTTCTATGACAAAGTTTAAGTTTCACTAACTTATCTATCGATTAAGGCTGTTCGGAAGGAAATCGAGGTGTGACAGTACGTCCGTTTCCCTTGTAAGTATTATGGTCAACTCGGAAATAATAGTGAAAGTAAAAATGATCTCGCTGGAAGATATTTTTAGACTGATGGTGATTTTTATTAAACAACTTGGTTTTAAGGTTTTGACAGTACATAGGACACATTCATACATATGTAATAGTATGTGGTCAGAAGTGACCATACAAACTACGCGGAGTTATGCTCAAACGAAGTGTCCCTTCTAATGAGGCATAAAAACAAAAGGACCCTTTTAATCCCTTGTCCTGGGAAAAAGGTTGGAAAATGCTCAGCCCTCATAAAAGTCGACAAACTTAAAAATTGATAAATATGGAAAACTTTGTTACAATTTTAACATCCTCCCTGAATTTTTAAAGTTCAATATCGGCAGTTTCCACTGGATTTGCCCTAACCGAAATTACATTTGGCCGGCTTTTCAGAAAAAGGAAAACACAAAGAGTGGCTTGAGCAACTATTATTAGTATGCAAAGGGTTAAGATCCATTCCATTGTTGACCAGGCTGGTTCATTGCTTGTGTGGTAGTGGATTGACCCTCCTTCGTCAGTGGAACCATTGATCATCAGACTGGTCCAGTTGAAACTAGGCTGCAAGTGCCAGTTGGCTTTCATCGTGAATAGTGGGTCGACTACCTCTTGGTGAACAAGGCTGGATTCAGTTCCTGAAAATTCAATATCATTTATTTTAAAATTAGCATTCATTGGAAGGATGAACACGCTAGCAGGGCATTGTTGCAGCTTCCTCTCAATGGTAATATTGGACCCAGGGCAGTAGATATGATATTGTCCATGGTGTAGTTTGATTTGTACAAAATCCCATGGTTCAGCAAGGTTCTTGTCATAACAGTGGTCTATGTCAAAGTGATTGGAGTTCTTTGTTTTCGCTGTTGGCGTGCATCCTCGAGTGGGCGAAACAATTAGGTCGGGGGTTGTAGGCTCCTTAACGTTGATGGAGTATACGCAGTCATCTTTCGTAGAAAGGATGGCATTATGGGGTCCCTTGTACTTTAGAACGCAGGTTTCATTCTTCCTTTCAACTTTGAGATCGAAGGAGTCTGCCTCGATGAGTTGCAAATCTTTGTTAATTTCAGTTGCTGTGAAGTCCACATACAGCTTGGTTCTGTCATCTGATATTTCGCACTTTTGAGATTGTGCGAAGCTGACTGGGCAAGCATCACCACAGGGTAACGTGAAATTAAAGAAATCCATTAGTGGTGCGTAAACTTTTCCTCGCCGCCACTGTCTTGTTGCTTCTCTAATTATTTCTCTACCTATCATGAGGCGACTGGTAAGGTAGGCAATTGAGAAATGGATTTTCCCTTGAGTTCGTCGTGATCAAGCTGATGTAGCTGAAGCTGTTCTAGTATACCATTTAGGCTAACCTTAAGCTTCTCAATCTCTCTTTCCGATATTTCCACGCGACGTTCCAATTCATCCAGCATCTCTCTTTGTTCCGCTACTGTTCCTTGCAAAGCAGAGATTCTTCCAGTTTGAACAAACGAATTGATTGCTCCACCAACTGATAAGCCGGCTACAAGGACAGTCACACCAATTATTACTCCAACTGCAAGTAATGGGAGGACTCTCTTCACTCTTCGTCCAATCTCTCTGGTATGTCGCGAATTAATATGATCGGAGAATTTTCTTTTAGGGCACATTTTTTCTAGCTCATCCAGGAACATTTCGTCGTATATTTTGTTACATTTCTCGGTTGCATAGGCACTTAAATCCTTATGGAGTAGATCCTGTGTTAAAATTTCGCACGGGTTCATGAATTTGACGAGCAAGTGGACTTGGTTATATCCCGTTGTAACTGGGATTGGACTCTTTTTCCATAGTAAAGGGATCGCATTCTGATGTGTCACCCCACAAGCTTGCGTAATAAACATAAGAAGGATGGTGAGAAGGCTCATCAGTGAGAAGTTGGCTTGGAGGGGACCTCTCTTTACTTTAGTTGGGTTGTCCTTGCTCTCCTTTGTCTCATTTCTTTCCATACTGAGATCGTGTCTCATCTTGAAATGCTGGGTCTTCAGTAGTGGCTTAGTTAATCCATCTGCAATTTGTTCACTGGTATGTACATATTCAATTGCCAACTGTCCTGTACTAACTAGCTCTCTTGTGTAGTGGTACCGGACATCGATGTGCTTGGATCTTGAGTGCATCTCTGGATTTTTGACCAATTTTATTGCACTCTGGTTGTCAACATGAATTATTGTTGGGGACTCTTGTGGGAATCCTAATTCTTCTAGAAATCGTCGTAACCAAACGGCTTCACGCGCTCCAGAAGCGAGAGATATATATTCACTTTCCATTGATGACATTGAGACAATGGGTTGCTTTTGGCTTGACCATGAAATAAGGCTGTCATTTAGCATGAAGACAAAACCTGTTGTAGATTTTCTATCCATTTTACGTTTAAGCTTGTATACCCATTTACTGTCAAGCAATCTTGCATTGGCTGGCCTCTTCACGTATTTCCAAGTCCCATTTTTCTTATGACTTTCAATCTCATCTTGCATTGCCTTTATCCATTCTTCCTTCTCTTTAGACTCAACGGCTTCTTTATAAGTTGAAGGTTCTTTGTCTGCATAAATGGCATGAGCTTGATATCTATCTGGTTTCTTAATTTTAGCTCTGTCTCTTAAATTGCGAGTGGTTCCTGATTTTTTACTTGTTTCAGGCAAGACAACACGTGTCGTCCCTTGCGATGGAATGCGAGCCGTGTAGTCTCCTTTTTCAGTTTTAACTTGGACTTCTAATTCGTCACCCATTTTCTCGTTGTCAGGTTGTACTGGCTGTGGGTCAACTTGATCAGGCTGTGGGTCCTCGGGATCGTATTTCTCCTCGTCCGTCCATTCTGCATCATCTTGTGCATCATCTTGTGCATCATCTTTTGCATCATCTTTTTCAGATTTGGATTCATCAGGTTCATCTCTTTCTTCTTCGCCATGTATCATTACTGTCGGTTCAAAAGCTTCTTCGTGGAAAGATACATTTCTTGCCTCAACCACTTGTCCGGACTCAGGGTCGTAAAGACGATATTTCTTGCTCTCTGATGCGTACCCACACAGGATAAGTCGCTCTCCCTTTGCTCCCCAGACCGTCCTTTTCTGGGCTGGTATATGTGCAAATGCTACGCTACCAAAGACTCTCAAATGACGGAGTGAAGGTTTCTTGCCAAATATTGCTTCAAATGCGGTTATATTTGGACTTTGCTTGTCCAGTATTCGGTTGTGGAC